CGACAGCAAATTCAAATTTATTGCTCAAAAGCGGATTTGGCAATTCTGTTTGAGAATATTTTTTTTTTATGGATGGAGTTTTTTTTCTACATAACTGCTAGTTCCATTAACAATAAATCAATACAAAAATTCCAAGTGCTATATTTTCTCACATGTAATTCGGTCATTTTCAGTAAGTACCTTGTATGTAATATACATTTGTCACTTGATTTAATTGATAGTTAACTTTAATGCTGATATGGGTAAATCGATGTATATTTTTGGATGTTAAAGGAAGTTGGTTGGTTAATTTGAAAGATATTTGAGAAAAGTAAGCATTTAAGGGCAAGTTTAGGACTAAGGTCTAAGGACTAAGGCAGTCCTGATTCTGTTTGTACATAGCGTTTAACTGTTTCTACGATATCAGTCAGTTACTATTACTAGGATCAACTCAGAATGGATTGAATCTCAGGTTACAAATATCTCAATCAAGGAGCTTAAATCCCTACTCAAACTGAACTAGTTCGTCATCAACAACCAGCCACAACCTCAAGTAATCCTGATTGAAAATAAATCAAACTATCTTAAAGTCCACTTGCTGTTGAAATAATTCTTAAAAAATGCCACATTAACAAGCGCTTCTTTCACTTTCCTCAAAATCATCCCATGCTGATCATCTTCTCACCAATTGAAACCATCAAGAAGGTTTTTTTTTTATGATGTATACACATTGTTTTGAGAGAAGTGTGATACCAACTGATAATAGAATTGTTTTGTTGTTTGCATTTGGCATTTCGAGTTATGTTTTGAGCTCAAAAGTATCAGCAACAGCAGCAGCCGATAAAGCCTCGATTGATGATGTTGACGTGGTGAAAAAGAGTGAGGGAAGCAGATGGAAGTAAAGAAGATATGAGACGAATGATGAGGGGAAAATAATGGAAACTGTCAGAAAAATTGATCTTTGACAATTAAGCAATGGGAATATTGAGAAATGAGAGAATGAGATCAATAAACGATGGAGGTGCTCAAGTGCCCCACACTTTATGAAAATAAGCATAAACGAAATATTCAATTGCATGCCGGGTTTTTGAAGTTGAAGGAAAAACTTTCTTGGTGTATAAATTTATTTTATTTTTTGTACTTACTTTTCTCTTTTCCTTATGAATGGAAAAATCGCTCTTTTTTCTTATCATCATCCATCTTGCCTGTCACCCGCAGAAGCTCTCAGAATTATTATTTCTTCTCTTCTTATTTTCCTTTTTCTTCATTGCTTATTGTACAAAGAGTGCGTTGGTTCGTTAGAAGATTCATTTCTTTCCTATTTCCATCACAACATGTTCCAATACTATTCCTAAGTCTTTACAAAAGGAAAAGATTCTATATCGCATGTGTTGACTGGCAAGCTTTCATCATCCTATAAGCTGCAGGATAAACACAAGAAAGAAGAAGATTTTAAGTACACAAGTAATCTATTATACCAAGTAAAGTTCTCCTTTTCCATGCGTTTTATGGTACATGATAGATAATTTTTATTGGGAATTATTATAGGATGTAAGATGTCTTTGACATTATATTTCTGTGGTAAATGGAAATTTTCTTATTGACTTGTCATTTTGGAGTTCTGACTTGCAATTTTTACGTCTAGAAACATTTTGCTTTTGAAATGTCTGAAATTGGAAATAAAATTTTGAATTTCTAATAAACTTTCAATGATATCGAATCCAACAATCCAAAAGATCAAGAAGATCCTTTTAATTTGTATATCCATATTTTATTTGCTATCTCCAATATGCCATTTCCAAATTTTCTATTTATAAAAGAAATGAAACAAACAAAACTTCCAACTTCATTGAAAAGCTGTTTACAATACCAAAGATATTGTTGAATATCCTTCTAGGCTTCCAATCTATCTGTCCATCCAACTAATAATTTTTCTTTTCTTCTCTTTGAAGCTCTTGAAGTTCACAAGAATAAAAAAATAAAAATAAACGAAAAGAATCATTGAAGGAAACAAAATTGAGTAAACAAGTACCTTTGAGGAACTTCATGTCCACAACAGCTATCGCATACACAATCTGACAGATGGAAAATTTCATTCGCTCTTAAATGAATTTTCAAAAAAATATCAAAAAAAAATGAGGATGAATTGTGTGTGCTTTTCCTCTCTTTCCACTCTCTTGTTCTTCTCAGTTGAAATGTGAAATGTTTTGATATGACATGAGGTAGATTATGGTACACACAATAACGAATGGCGGTATGGGGAAGTTGGAATTATTATTAAAGGGCATGGATGAAGGAGATTGAGGGGATGAAGTGAAGCAACAAAAAACCGAAAAATCAAAAACATATGTGAAACATGAAAGATGCCACCCACACGCACTACAGAATCTCTTATAACCTACTGCTGTGTACTGATGTGCTTCTGTTACTGCTATTTGATGAATATACATCCACATGCGTTCCATCTGTTACCAACTCAAGCTGAATTACTTGCACAGACTGAACTTTTTTTTTCGCTGTTTCTCACTCACTTTATTCACTCAAACTAAATCGTTTGTTTTGTTCTTGCCTCATTTTCTTCTTATTTTCTATAAGGAGCTTTCAAAACCATGCATCATTTTTACTAAAAGTTTTTCTTTTCCTCTTTTTTCCATTTCCACTTTAACGAAATAAAATGAAAAAGGAAGTAGAAAATAAAAGTTTTTCTATTTCGAAAACAGGCAAAAAGAAAAACATTTTGTGTGTGTGTGTCTATGTGGAACAACAAATAGAAAATAATGAAAAACTTTTCTATTTTGTACCTTGAATAAAGTAGATTTTAAAAGTAGAAAGAAGAACTAATTTAACCTTTGAAATTACTCACAATTTTTGATGATTTCTGTGTGTAATGAAATCAAAGAAAAATTAAGTTGTTTTATGCTCAATTATTAATTCATGAATGAATGTTTTGGAAGTTTCAATGAAAGTTTTTACTGGCAGTTGATTCTGAAATTTTAAATTGTTCTTCTTGAGTTATTGTCAGTCAACTTTATGCTTTAACATCAAAATTCAAATTGCTTCAAATCATAAAATAAATTTGATTAAAAATTTGAAATATTGATCAATAAATTTCCAGCACAAATTACAAGCCTTAGTCACTCAAAAATTAAAAATACATGCTGTCTAAAAATTCATTCTGAATCTGCCATAAACATTTTGATGTTTCAGTGACTTATTTGACATATATACGTTGAAATTAAATGCCTCGGTTTGACAGCACATCTCATTCCAAATTATGATTGATCCAACTATCAATTATTGGCATTACTGTTTATTTCTCTTTATTTGTATTTTTAACAGCCCATTATATCAGTTAAGTAAATAACAAGCCATTAATTTACACTATAAAATATTCAGGATGTCATTTGAAAAAGTTAATAATAAGCTTTCTTTAAAGTCGTCCTGCAGACGAAACTGTTTAATCATAATAAACGAATTTCTAAATACAAGCTTTAATTCCTTAAAGTGTTCCTTCACCTCAATCATCACGAAAAAAAATCTGTTACTTCCAATACATTCCGACTACACGTGTGCCCTTTACAAATATATTCGTAAATGCCACATTTTTCTTGTTATTCATTAGTAAATCAAGCAGGTGATATTTTAGATTATTGTGATGAATGTTTGTGACACATTTTCCACATGACGTTTCTAATTATTGTTCATTCTCGTATACGAAAAAGAGAAAGAGCCTCCCATACTCATGGTCGGAAAAACAATGAATTTGATTTGTGTTTGTGTGTTCATGATAAGACACCTGAGTGTTCATGTAAACTGCGCCAATTGAAAAGACATTTGGTAATGAGGTTCTTCTCAAAGGATCTAGGAAGAGATGATGATGATGATGGAAATAATTGATTGAAATTGAATAAAGTTAAAAACATGAAAAGACGATGAAAATAAAAAGGAAATTACAGCAAAACTGCAGGAGCAATCTCAAAAAACTCAATTATAAGCAGCTTTCTGTTGCACACTTTCATACACATCGTCTGTTTGGAATACATAAGCAACCGTATAAACGAACAAGCAGAATGGTAATGAACAGAAGCATGAGAAAAAGAGTTTAAGACAGCGACGAAGTATAAGTTTAACAATGATCGAAAAAAATGAACTGTGAATTGCTTTTCTTCCTTCATACACAACTTAAGTGCTTTTGCTTAAGAAAGTGTGGGAAAATGAAGACGTTTGTGCTCATAAACTTATTTACTTCCTTCAACAAATGTAGTTCTAGATCTTGATGAAGTAAGTTTGATTTATAATGTGAAAAGTTTTAATTTCATTTGAAGCGCATTTTTTTGACTGACTTAAAATTAAGTAGTCTAATATAAGTAGTCATTCACATTAAGGGAAGCTGGATCCAGAAGTCAATAAAATAAGAAAATAACGCGTTAGAAACTTTTCTTTTCATCGTCTTCCTTTTTCTCTCTCCACCCATGCACAACTCGAAAGAGAGTGCCTGTACAAGCTGTGTATTTATTAAAACTACTTAGTACTAAAAAAGGGAAAAAGCACCATCATTTAATGTGTCATTTACATCCGTTGCATTTATTATTTTCATTATTAATAATTATTATAAAGCAATTGTTTTGTTCCAAAAAGCCATTTCCACTTCTCCTATTCATAACTCTATGCACACATACTTAATTCAACTTTTGCTGCTAGCTGTTTACTAAAGTATTATATAGCTTGCTGTCTGTTACTGGTACCATCAAATAACTTACAATAAAACTAAATTCCTTCTTCTTATTTATTTTATTCTAAAACAAATGGTTTTAAAAATGGAAATAATAAAAAAGAAATAACTTAGTGGGATGGAGTTTTTGCAAATAAATATGTATGATTCGAACTGCTTTTGTCATAATGAAGAGCACAGAAATTGGAGAGCGAGAAAAATAAATCGCAATCTATTGTTTTTAAGATAAAGTGTCAACGTATTGTTATGCAAATTCAATTATTTTTTTATTCTTCATTCATTTTTACAGGCAAAGAGCAGTGCCATACGCCAGACTCACCAGAAGGAGCAAGAGTCATTGCACCCCGATCTCCCATATCTCCACACCACATTCATCCCATCACAACAATGATACCAGCATCAACAAATCGAAGTTCGAGTGTCAATCGTCATAATAGTTCATCGCCAACAAATAATGGAACACCGCCACCAACTGCTTCTGCTACGGCCCTCATCACTGGAAATACGGTAACATCTGTTCATGACAGTCAACGTTTATTAAAGATAAGAAGATTTTTGGGTGCTCTCGTGCAATTTGGTCAAGATACCAATCCAGATGTTGGCGATAGACTGCGTTCATTAGTGCTATCACTTGCTGTAAGTTACCTTGCTGTTATGGTTTCATTCGACATGTGTCTAAATTGATTTCATTTTCATGATATCTAGAGTGGTGGACTGTCAATTGAAGAATTCCAAATAGCTGTGCAGGAGGCAACAAATTTTCCATTAAGGCCAAATGTATTGCCATTTTTACGTTCACATTTACCGCTTCTACAACGCGAAATCAACAGTATGGCTCGCGTTAGCAAGCAATCTGCACTTCAGTATGTACGAACAAATGAAAGTTCCGTTATGGAATTACTACATAATCCAACTGATGCTCATAGCGATATTTTCCTATCTAATGAAAGTAATTTTAATGGAAGCAATGGATTGAATTTGAAACGACGTGCAACTGAAACGTAAGTTGTCAATCTTCCTTCAAAATAATTTACACAGATTTTCATATCATACTTTCTTTCCGATACAGTCTGCTATACGACTCACACATAACCAGTGGCACTAATTTATCATCGCATGAATGGAGCGACTACATTTCACCTGCAAAACGACCACATCATTCATTGATGCTCTCATCAGCTTTGCCGCATTTAATAAATCATCCATCTTTGTTTGAATATCAAGCAAACGGGATCCATTCACATCAAGAACAACAAATGGTCAGTAGATGTTTCCTTCTTTTATTTCTAATCGAAATTCATTCAATGATTGAGGCACGCAAAGCGCATTTTGAACTTTTTTGGTACAAGCCGAAATTTCGGGATTTAGCAAGCTTAAAATGTATCTGAATATTAATCTTAAAAATCTAATTAGCTTAAAGTTTTTAATTTTCAACATCCAGGAATGTAAATCGCCATCCAAACTGCATAAATGCAAGCAATTTAATATTTCCATGCTTTGTTTGAAAATTTATTAGAAAAAAAGCCATTGAGCGATAGAAACTGGGTAAATTTATATTAAACTGTCCAGATCAGTTCCATCAAGATAGAGTTTTCAATAGTTCAATTTTTTTTCTGTTTTGTTTCTTTCCTCCGACTAAATTTACTACATTTAACCCCATTGTCTTTTGTGTCGAAGCCAGCTCTAAGCGGCTGGAATTGAATGTAAATTTCCTGACACAAAAACTAATTTTCAAATCTGTCCACAGCAGAATCATTGTAAATTTTTTACTCTCTCTTTATATATTCTCGATACTAGTTATGTGCTAAGCTATAAGCTTATTAAATTGAGTTTATGGAAATATTTTTAATTAAAATTTTTTCATTGTTTTTTGAGAAGAATATTAATTTTTTTTTAATTATTTCCTTCTAAACAGCACAATACCCGTGAAGAACGTGATCTCAGATCAATAAATACAGAAACTCCGCGTGGGAATAACCGGGTTAGTGCTGGTGCCAGCAGTCAAGTAAATGGAACATCATCATCATCGGGTAGTGGCGATGAAGAATGGCGCAATATTCACACAATGTTATCATGTATAAGTGGAATGGTTGATAAGACGAAACGTGCCATTTCCATTCTACAACATCGTGGAACAGATAGCGTGTCAAGTTCACATCACCATGAATCGACAGTGATTAGTGATATTAGGCGTCAAACTGAAGAAAAAATTGCTGAATTTCGACGAAATGCTGAAGATGCTGTCAATCAGGTAAGACAACAACAACTATCTTGATTGTATTTGAATGGGATATGATTGATAGATACTTAAAAAAATATATATTCTGTCTATAACAAATTAGGTAAAAAGACAGGCTGTACTAGAAATACAAAGAGCTGTTGCTGCAGCTGAAACTCGTGCTGTTGAGATGATTGCTCAAGAACGTATTAAAATGGAGAAGATTTACAGTGAAATGAATCGAGTTGGTGATGGAAGTGAAAGTACTGAACAAACAACTGGATCTAATGTGAGTTTCACTTATTTAAAATTAATGCCTATGAAAAATATTTGAAAAGCTTAGTAGAGCTCATTCAAATCTAATTCTCATATTCTCTAATCAAATAATCAGTCATGCTGGAACTGTGGACGAAAAGCTAATGAAACGTGTTCGGGCTGTAACTTAGCACGTTATTGTGGAGCATTTTGTCAACACAAAGATTGGGAAAGTCATCATCAAGCATGTGGAGCAAATGCACGTTCAACTGAATCTCAAACTTCTGCACAAGCTCCCCAAAAAACCACACCGACACAGCCAACGCGATCAACAGTAAATCCAAGCTCAAACAGCTCTTCACGGTCCTCGCCAACAAATCAAACTTCATCCTCTTCTGGAACGAATGGAATTGTCACAACGCCCAAGTGACGGAATAAGCTCATGAAGCCCAAAAAGAAATACTTGTGCTAGTCAACTGGAAAAAGTATCCTCAAAGTCAGATATTGAAAGTCAACTTCATCTTTTCCAAAAAAAAAAGAATGAAATTAAATTAAAAGTTTTAAGAATTTAAGAAAGATGAAAATATTTAAGTTGATTTCAAAGATGAATGAAAATCCTGGATGTACAATTAATTGATAAATTTATTAATATCTATGAAACTTAATTTTAAAGAGATTTTCTGATCTGATGAAAATGAATCTATTGTTTTTGTGAAATCATCTTGTAAGCTACTTGCTAAAGGAACTTAGATATTGAGGATTGGTCAATTCCTCATCAAACTACAATTATACGTAAAATGGAAGATAAAGAATTGATGATAATAGTTAATAATTAAAAGAAAAGCTTAGAACTTTAAGCTTGATGAGATAATGTTGAAGCTAATTTAAAACCAAAAAATAAAGAAAAGATTAATTAATAAAAAAAAATCAATTAGTATAGATGTAAATAATAAGAACAATTTTCCTTCCCCATCTCTCTTAATCTCTCTCTCTTTCTCAAACTCTTTCCATTTCTCTTGGATTATTGGTAATTTATTAAGGGGCTGTTCACTTATTACGTAACGCGAAAAAATGACTTCTTAGACCCCCCCCCTCGTAACAAAATTTGTATGAAAAAAAAATTTTCTTGTTTGAACCGTAACAAAATCTTACACCCCCCCTCCCCCTAAAGGCGTTACGTAATAAGTGAATGGCCCCTAAGGAAAGTTATGTTGATCGTCGGAGATAAAAAAAAAGTGTCTCTAGTAATTGTGAACCTATACACAAGTTTTTAAGCAAGCAAGCAAGCTTTAGTGCAATAATTAAGTTTACTAATTTATTGAAATAATTAATATTGTATTTATGCACATAAATATTGGTTTAAGATAGCATAAAAATATTTTCCAATAGAAACTTTCATTAATTTATTGCACTAACCGTCACATGGATGAATGTAGAGTAATAGAAAGTACACAAGTATGACTATATTTTGCACAAAATTTAGATGACATCACCAACTCAATGAAATAAGTTTAAATTTACCATTTTCCCCCCATAAAATACATAATAAACATCTATGTGATGTCATAGTTAAGTAAAAAAAGAGAATATGATCCTCATGTCGTTTTAGTCAAGTAAGGTGAAAATGTAGCATAAATGCACTCATAAAAATAAAATTGTTGTTTTACTTTTAATTTCATGTTAAAAACTTTTTTTTATGTCATTCATTATTTTCTTTATGAAATAAATTAATAAATGATTTTTATTGCTATTGCTCATATTAAATTATTTATTGTAATTTAAAGTCATACAAAAATAAAACAAAAAATTCCTACAAAGAATTAACGGTTTTTAAATATTTAAAAGACAGTTTCTAGCTGACTGGAAACAAAATCAACAGGTTGACCTTTTTGCCGACTGTTGGAAGTACTCATTACATTTTCATCAATACATTGCAATTCATTACATTTGAGCGATAAGTTCTTTATTGAAATTACATTTTAATTCTTAACATGCCTGTGATAATTATGAAAAATGAGGAAGAAGTTCTCAAGAAACTTCAAAATTTGATCGAAGAGATCTCAAATGAGGCAATAACATCAAGAGGCAAATTTACTATTGGATTCTCAGGTAAATTATTACTCGAAAGTTTCAATAGAGCATTACAAGGTTTACATTCACTTTTCAGGGGGATCTCTTGGCAAATATTTATGTCAAACACTGCCTAATATTACCACTACATGGTCAAAATGGGCCATATTCTTCTGTGATGAACGATATGTTGAAGAATCTGACATTGAATCGACTTTTGGGTAAATTTGCTTTTTTAAATTTAATGCTGAACTTTTTTCAATTATTACTTATTCATCAATTTTATAGATTCTATAAAAAGCATTTGATACCGTTAGTTCCCTTGACGGAACAACAATTCCGATCGATAAATGTTAATGATCCAGTAGAAAAAGTTGCTGATGATTATGAGGCATCGATTAAAGCTGAATTTGGAAAAAGTTCGGAAATTCCATCGTTTGATCTTCTTTTATTAGGAATTGGTCCAGACGGACATACAGCTTCACTTTTTCCAAATCATCCTCTATTAAAAATGACTAATCGGCTTGTAACTCACATAATTGACTCTCCAAAACCACCTCCAAAAAGAATTACAATGACTTATCCACTCATTAATAATGCAAGAAACTCGATTTTCACTGTTCCTGGAAAAGGCAAGGCTGAAATACTGAAGAAAATCTTTGAGGATAAAGAGGATTTGCCTGCAGCACGTGTGAGATCAAACAATGTCTACTGGCTTTTTGATAATGACTCGGCACCTTCGGTAACGGAAATTTAAATGTTTGACTTGAAAAGTTTTGTATCGAAAATTTCAAATTTTTTTAAACACGCTTTTCTGTAATAAAAATATTTTTTTAAAAATGGATAAAATTTATTATTTTATGGATTAGAAATATAAAGGTTGCCAATTCCACTCATCACTAGATTTATCGCTTTAAATTTTTAAAAATCGATACAATTTGAATTTTTAAATTGTCTTAAAATCATTTTTGAGGTCATCGATAATTACTGGATTTGATACATACATGAATTGGAAGAATTTACTGTACACTGTAGGGAAAATGAACCGACTGTTCGAGTTAAGTGCGGAGATCATATTACAGAACTGAACAAAATTTCAGAGAAAACTATAACGTTGTGTAACAAATTTAGTGAATTCTAGGATTGAACAAAGAACGACACATTAAGAACCGAGTGTAAAGAACATCTGAACATCATGATGTCGACTCCTTCCAAAGCAATCAGTAAAGATTCATTAGATCTATTAGTACGACAGACAACAAGAAAACAGTTCAGCAATTTCAAACAAAACAACAGTCCAAAATTTACATTTAAGCTAGTAAAGACAATCGATCAGCTAATTCCATCATGCAAAACACTAGATTCAAACGCTAATAATGTCATATTGATTGTACTCCTGGATGTTGTTAATCCACACCGATTTTGGTTCGCAGAATATAATGAGTATAAAGCATTGACTGAATTCATGAAGAATATGCAAGAATATTATATTGCGAATCTAGATTCACTCCGAATAAATGTTCAGGACTTAAAACGGGGACTTTATGTAGCAGCATTATATAATGGAATTTGGCATCGAGGAATGATAGTCAAGAATGACGAAAGGTTTGCAAGAATTTTTAATGTGGATTTTGGTACAGTCGTTGACATTAGACATTTTGATTTGTGCTATTTAAAACAAGACTTTTTGAAATTGCCATCAATTGCCCGTCGCGGTGTGCTAGCCTTTGTTCAACCATTGCAGAATGACATGTGGAGTAATGAAGCTAGAATTTTATTTGAAAAGTGCTTCAGAAATAAGAAAATTGAGATTAAAATATTAAAGTACAATTCTCGTGACAATTCATATTTGCTAGAAATGAAGTATGAGAATGATCATAAAATCGTGGAACTGCTGACAGACTCGTTGATTAAAAATAACATTGCTGAACCAGACTCAATGTTTTTGGATAACGAAAGTGTCAGTAAAGACAGCTATGGATTTCAAGAATATGAAGAGGGAATATTGTTGGATATAAAGTCACCAATTCCGATTGTTATTGAAGCTTATGAAAGTTCCAAAACACCTTTTAAAGTTACTAAGAAGACTAGCGCATCATCAATCCTATCGACACTTAGCACAAACAGTTCCATTGAATTCAACAATTCAGCAAATAAAGGCATAAATCAAGCTGAAACTCCTGAAGATGCCAGAGAAGAAATGAAAGTTGTTGAAGATTCTTATCAGACCTTTAGTTCTTCAATAAAGCTGAAGCAAATTATTAATGAATGTCCAAGTGTTATCAATAATCAAAGCTTTGAGATATTGACTAGTGGAAATCAAGTTGAGATCTACATCCATGTTTTCTTTGATGTCAGTTGCTTCTTTTTTTACGTCAAAAATGAGATGTCTGATATCAAGAAGTTTTTAGATGATTTGAAGTAAGTTTGAAGCAAAAGATTTTCGAAAATTTGAATGTTTGTGCTTTTAAACCATAGAACAGAAATTGTTTTCGTTTTAAAACCTTTCAACAATAATTTTCAATTGATTAATATTTTTCAGTGCAAGATGCAAAGAAAGCAAGAAGTGCTTAAATGTTGAGGATTTGATGCTTAACAAAGAAGTTGTCATTTTCAATGATAATAATTATTGTCGCGGTCGCATTAATTCAAAAATAGAAGACTTATATCAAGTAACAAAAATTACTAAAGTTTAAATTTGTTTTCTTTTTTTAATTAAGAATCTTTTTAAAGGTTTATTTAATCGATTTTGGAGTGTTTGTCACGAGAAAATGTAATGAAATTTTTCAAATTCATAAGGAATTCATCAAACGAAAATGCTGCATATATAAGGGATGCACCTCGGATACTTTGACAAACGAAAAGCAAGTTGGAAGCTTTAGAGTTGCTAAAATTTTAGGAATATTAAATGAGAACACAGTTCAATTAAAACTTAATCATTAAAAACCATTGAATCATTAAACTATAATACTGTTAAAACTATTCACAAATCAGTGAAAAGTCATCAACAAAGCTAATCAATAAGCAACAAAATACAAAATTAATTTTGTAAAATCTTTGTAGACAGTTTTATTGTACTTTTTTGATCAGTTTTAATCAGTTTTAATACTTATGATCATGCAACTTCAACTATATGCAACGGTTTTAAGAATTTCAAATCAAACAGCCTTGAGACTGGCATAATGTTTGAGTGCACTGTATGGATGAAGCGGTAATACAAAAACTAAGATTTTTACAAACCAAAGTACAGTCCAAAGGAATATCTAGCAGAATTCAGAAGATTTTTAAAAGATCTTTAGCAAAATGGATAATTTAAGTACTGTCAATCCCGTGTTTTCTACTTATGTGTTCTATACGGCAATATTAGTGATTAAAACATTACTAATGGCTGTATTGACAGTTATTCATAGAGTAAAGAATAAGGTAATCATAGTTTAATAAATCTCTATCGATATATCTATAATATTCTTAATTCCTTTGAAGTCTGTTGCAAGTATAGAAGATTCTCCAAAAGGAATTGTCCTATTCTCAAAAGATGTTGAACGTCAGAGGAGGGCTCACTTGAATGATTTAGAAAACATTCCAATATTTATAATCGTAGCATTTTTATACACATTAACATCGCCCACCACCTTCATTGCTGTGAATCTGATAAGATTATTTACCTTATCGAGAATCGTTCACTCGTTTGCTTACGCTATTTATCCAACACAACCAACACGAGGTATCGTCTTTGGTATCGGTTTATTAATTACATTGTATATGTCACTTCATGTTGCACTTTTCTTTTTCTAATCCAATTTTTAAGGAATGAACAATAAAAACAATATTTTTTAAAACAAAAATGCTCTCTTATGATTAATACATGTTAAAATACTATCTTATATAAGATCGAAGAATAAACAAAACAACCACTCATTCGTTTGTGTGAACTCGGTAAAATCAGTAATCAAGACTATGTCAAGCGTATTTGAATTATTGACAATTAACAATCCAGTCTTCAAATCCTATGGATTCTGGTCAGCTGTTCTAGTCCTCAAAGTCCTCGCAATGGCTCTTGTAACATCGAGCACAAAGCGCAGGAAGAGTGTAAGTCCGAACTATGCTTGAAATAACTGACAATTTCATGAAATATTATGTTCGTTCTTGCTTAGTTTGTGATTAATCCAGAAGACGCAATGTTTGCAAAAGGAAAGGAAATCAAGCCAGATGCTAGAGATACAGATGTTGAGAGAGTTCAAAGGTGAGGCAATTACCGACACACGTAACTAGCTGTTGATTATTTGTTGTTTTCTTTTCAGAGCGCATCAAAATGATTTGGAGAATTGTATACCATTTTTGGTAAGTGACTGTTTTGACCCGATATCTCTTATCAACTTTATCGCATGCTTTTGTTATTAAATTCCAGATAATTTCGTTCATGTACATGTTAACAAATCCTTCAGCCGTTATTGCCACAAACGTCATTCGTACTGCCGTACTTTCAAGATTTGCATACAGCTATTCATACATCAATGCTTTACAGCCATTCAGATCAATAAGTTTTGGAATCTGCTTTGCATCAATGATTTATATGTGCATTAATAATATCATGTACTTTTTTTAAGATAATTTTCAGGTGTTCTTGATTGATCAGGCTGTTGAATAATTTTGTTCCTAATAAATATAAATTTTTTTAAATAATTGAATACAATTTGCGTAGTCATTCCTAAATATTATTAAAGCTTCAATTATAAAATATCTCAGAGACATGCTAGTGTATGGAACTAGTCATTATATAATGAACAAATACAGTGATAGGTAATCAAATTTGTTTACATGCAATACAGGCATAAGAGCCGGTATTTTTCACTCACATTTGCGCATATACTCTTAATGATATACGTGCTGTGAACAAAATATTACTCAGTTTGTGTTTTGGTTCCGTCTCGTCAACAAGTTTAGTTTTACTGTTAAATTCAAAATGTCAATTTTGGAAACAATTTCTTCGGATAATGATGTCTTTAGAGCTTATGCTTTCTGGACAGCTGTTACCGTCATAAAGATGCTTTTGATGTCTGGATTGACAGGAAAAAATAGATTTAAGAATAAGGTGAGTGAATTGGATTTATAATACATTGAAAGCTAATATGTAAAATCCAGATTAATAATTATGAAATAGCTATTGACTTACTAATTATAGAGTTGCATGTCATAAGGTTGATTGTCTAATTAATTAAGTTTCTCAACTTTATACTTTTAGACATTCGCAAATCCAGAAGATACAGGCTTTGCTGGCAAAAATCTAAAAGCTAAATTTGGAGATGAAGATGTTGAACGTGTTAGAAGGTGCGAACAATAAGCCCTTTATCAATTTACAATCTTAAATAATTTTTTTTTCTGTATTTTAGAGCTCATAGAAATGACCTTGAAAATTGTATCCCATATATGGTAAATCATACATTATTGATAATTTTAAAATTCTGACACAATTGCTAAATTCATTTTTTTTTTCAATTTTAGATTATTGGATTATTGTATGTCCTCACAAACCCAACTTCATTTATTGCTGTGAATGTCATTAGAATTGGAGCAATTTCTAGAATTGTTCACACAGTTGCCTACTTGAATGCTTTACAGCCATGGAGAGCTATTGGATTCTTTGGATGCGTAGCTGCAACTGTCTTTATGTCTGTCCAAGTTTTAATGGCTTTTTATTAAAATTGCTATTAAATAATTTCAATTTATTATGGAATACGTAAAAAGGGAAGCTATATAAGAAGCTAATAAAATATTTCTTAAAAAATTTTTGATATAAAAACAAAACTGAATTATGGAATTATGGAAATAATCTTGCAGAACACATAATGCTTGAACTGTATGCTTACTTTGAGGTCATTTATTGCTGTCTAGACAAATATTGTAATTTGATTTGGTTGATCCTTGTTCCTTTGATGTTGCCTTAATATAGGATATAAAGGGTTATAGCTTATGGAAGAAATTCTTCTATTCATGAAATCTCTAACCACAGCATACAATTTCTAGTAACCGGTTAACATTCTTTCTTATAGTTTTGAACTATTCTTAGCCCAAGCTATAAGAACCTCTTTAAAAGCTTTATTTAAACATGAAATGAAAGAGTAACTCTCCATAAGTATCGTATCTAGTTGAAATTGCCAAAACAGAAGAAAAAAGCATCCACAATCCCTGAATTTTAGAAAATGTCATAGAGCGTATATATGGAAATACCGAGTTATAATATATTTCACAAATACATAAGTTAGATCGTCTTAGGATATACCTGAACCATAAAATGTCATTTAGTTTGCATTTTGATTTCGTTTGGTCAACAAGTTCTTCTTGATAAGCAGAAAAAATTATTTAAAATGTCAATTTTGGAAACAATATCTCTGGATAATGATGTCTTCAGAGCTTATGCTTTCTGGACAGCAATTACCATTTTTAAGATGCTTTTTATGTCTGTACTGACAGGACGAACTAGATTAAAGAACAAGGTTAGTAATACGACCTTTGAAGTCATTCCGCATTGAATATTAAGTAAGTAGTTTGACAGGTATTTTATGAGTTGCCAATTTTTTCGCCTATAGATATTCATTAATCATGAAGATACAGTTGGAAGAAATGTTGAAATTGTAGTTAATGATGAGGATGTAGAACGTATTAGAAGGTACGATCGATTAAGATTAAAGTTTATCTTTTTCCTTATATTCCAAAAAATTTTATTTTTTAATTCTAGAGCTCACCGAAATGATCTTGAAAACTGTTTCCCATTTATGGTAAATTATACTTCCATCTATAAAGTTCTTAAAATTCTAAATTTTTTCACTTTACTGCCATTTAGATTATTGGATTCCTGTTTGTTCTTACCAATCCAAGCTCATTCATTGGCGTGAACTGCATGAGAATCGGAGCAATATCGAGAATCATTCATACAGTTGCCTTTTTGAATGCTTTGCAGCCTTGGCGCTTTATTGGATTTCTCGGATGTATCCTTGTAACTGTCTACATGGGAATTCAAGTCTTAATGTTCTTTTAATTAATATTTGAATATTGTTTTTTTATTGGGGAAACTAAAGGTGAAAAAAAAATAAAATTAATCAGGCATTGATGACAACAAATATGACTTGATCATGCTTTATTGTTTCAAAATCTTCTATTTTTACATTTCTAACCAATTTGCTGGATTCTTGACCATAATTTGATGAACTTGTTCTTCAGTGAAACCTTTAATAAGCATTTTTGGCTTGACATTATTCAAAACATGTGCAAATCCATGTCCACCAAATGCAGTCTGAAATGAAGGAAACAATGGTATTGTGAAAACTTTAAATAAAGGATTAGTGCTTACCAATCTATGCTTTGTGTGTATATCATGGCTCATTAATATTCTATCAATTTTTCCTTCATCAGCCAACATTTTCAGTCGTTCAACTCTTTGAGCATCAGATGGCATGTCAGCATTAGGATTTAATTGGTACCAAGACACTTCATTACCAAAGAGATCCATTTGACAGTAACATCCAAATTTAGAAAATTCAAGCAATTCTTCGTCATTCAAAAGTGTTCGATCTAAATGAGACATGACACATTTATTGATGTCACCACCAGCTTCAAGGTAAACTCTGACAATTTCAAATGGAGCTTTCGAGTCTCTTCCTGGATGGAAGGAAACACCACACTTTAATTTATTTTGTACAATTGCTGTTGCTTGAATTGCTTGCTTTTCAAAATTAGTAATAGGATAAGTACTTCCAACTTCGCCTATAAATCCACACTTTACAGTTAGTCCAGAGTCAATTTGATTTCCCTCCTCAATATCTTTTGTATATAAATCAACCATTTCTTCTAAAGACATTTTTAAGGTTTCAGCTTTCTGAGTCATTTCAATATAATGCCCAGTTCCAGCAATAACATTAACTCCAGTTTTCTGTGCAACATCTACAAGATAATTCAAGTTCCTCTCGATTCCATAAGTTGTATTTTCAACAATACTGCGTCCTCCAAACAACTTAAATTCCATTACATCATCAAGTACAGCTTTTTGTGTCTCATCGTCATCAAATTGCAAATTATACTTGCTTGCATATGGATATTGCTTGACATATCCAACATTTTTAAGATGAATCTTCTCATTAATTCCATCATTGAAATATTTGTGTAGCTGTGGTGGTGGACAGCAGTAAAACTTGTCAAATTTCAAGTTAAAATGTTCGTGAGTTAATGTTATTCCTAGATTTTCAGAACCAATGTCTCCAATCACTGTATATAAGGAAATTTTAAGTAGTTTAAATAACTTAATTGTGCCTTAAAATACCTGTTCGAATTATTTTTCCCATTTTGCTCGTTAAAAGCAAACTTTTTCAATAAAGAGAGAATCTGTTTATGCTACGATAATGAAGTACAGCTAGCTGATAAGAATAAAATTCATTTAATCAAGTGTATAAAACATATCAAGTCATTGAAGACTACTTCTGTTTATTTTTATTATCATTCAGAGCAAATATTTCCCAACAAGATTTATGAAACTTTAATTTGTTTACTTTTATTGCTTACTCTGCAAAGAAAAATCATCTGTGTAGATGTAAGGCATTTAGAATTTCAACCAATCTGCTGGATTTTTGATTAAAATAGTATCAATCTCGTCCTGTGTAAAACCTCTGGTCTTCATTTTTGGCACAATATTATTTATGATGTGAGAGAAGCCATGACCTCCAAACTCAACCTGTTTTGAGTCAAAGAAAATGAGAATTAAACCTTCTCAATAATAAATTTCACCTTACCAGTCTATGCTTCGTATGAATATCGTGACTCATTAGTATCCGATTTAATTTTCCATGTTCTTTTAACAAATTCAATTTTCCAATTCTTTGAGCATCAGATGGCATGTCAATTTTATGATTCATTTGGAAATGAGAGCATTCAAGACCAAAGAAGTCATACTGACAGTAACCACCTAGGTCAGAGAATTCTAGCAATTTATCATCATCCAATATTGTTCCTAAAGCAAGAAAACAATTAAATTTAAATCAAGCTGGACAATCAATTTAAAGCCTTACGATCTAAATGTGACATAATACATTTAGAGGCATTTCCACCAGCTTCAAGATAGATTCTCATGACCTCAAACGGTGAATTTGGAGAATCTCTGCCTGGATGAAAAGTAACACCACATTTTAAGGCACTTTGAGTTTCTCCAGCTGCAATTATCGCACGTTTTTCAAATTCAGATATTGGATAAGCACTTCCAATTTCTCCAATCATCCCACACTTTACTTTTACAGTTTCAGAAGGACTTATTTTGACATCAATTCCTTCAACAATCTCTTGAGTATAAGAATCAACCATCTTCTCAACAGATATGTCCAAAACATCAGACTTTTGAGTCATTCCTAAATAATATCCAGTTCCAGCTATAACATTGACTCCAGTTTCTTTAGATATTTCATACATAAGCTTCAAGTTTTGGTTTATTCCACAAGTTGTGTTCTCAACAATGCTGCTACCTCCAAATTCCTTAAATATTTTCACATCATTCATGACTGCTTTGTGTGTATCTTCATCCTCATAATTTATATTATATTTACTTCCATAAGGATATTGTCTTATAAATCCAGCATTTTTTAAATGAAGTTTTTCATTAACACCGTCATTGAAGTATTTAGCTAAAGATTCAGGAGGTGCACAAAAGAATTTATCGAAATTCAACGAAAAATGTTCATGCGTTAATGTTATTCCGAGATCTTGAGGCTTTATATCCCCAAGAACTGTTTGAATTTTCTCCATAATTCCAAAAACAAGCCTTTTGTGGTCAACTGATTATCAAAAACTAAAAACATACCAACAGCAATGAACTGATAAGATTTATCTTATCAAAAAAATAATGTTTTCGTATCAAAACCTTGAAGCCTAATAACAGATCATTTGTAGCTTAATTTGATCAGATTCCAATTAAATTTTAAGTGCTTGTTAAAAGATGTAACCCAAAATTATTAAATTCTCAATCAATTTGAAGCTGATTAATCAATAAATTTCTATCTGTTCTATTCAGCGATCTAAATCATGTGAAATGCTTCTGTAAGTAATTGCCAGTAATTCAATTGTTACTGATTTACAAGCATAAGAAGAGAAAATTCAGGGCTTAAGAAAAGTTCATTCGAAAGCTATAATTTGAATATTAAGCAGTCGACAATTAAAAGATATAGTGATGCCTTAGATTTCAAAACTGTATATAAGCAGCAGTAGAATCTTTAAAATTTATAAGTTTTATCAAAAGCTTGTAATTGAACAGTCGTAAGCAACATGAAAGTTATTATCATAATTTCTTCAATTATTGCCATTAGTTTGGCAACTGATTATTGTGATCCAAAGATTTGTACAAATAAGCCAAATCCAACATTCCCACATATTGGATGTGGTGCAAGTGGTAAACTAGCTTCAACTTGTCCATCGGATGGTGAATATATTGAATTGACTGATGAGCATAAGAAGATTATTTTGGAGGAACACAATAAGCTCCGTAATAAAATCGCTAACGGAGAGGAAAGTGGATTTGAACCAGCCAAGAAAATGGTAACAATGAAGTGGAATGATGAGCTTGCTTATCTTGCAAATTTGAATGCTTTAGGATGCGATTTTGAACATGACAAGTGCAGAAATACTGATGATTTTGCATATGCTGGTCAAAATTTGGCTGTTCGTTCAAGCACTGGGGATTTTCCTGAAACAAAAAAAGCACTCCGTGATGCTATTCGTGATTGGTACAGTGAATATGAAATTTCCACTCAAAGTGACATCGATAAGTATCCATTAGACACAAATGGTCGTATGATTGGGCATTTCACTCAAGTCGTTAATGGCTTAGCAGGTGAAGTTGGATGTGGTGTCACACGATACACTGATTCAAGTAGTGGAACTGCTTTCAAAACTTTCCAACTTAGCTGTGATTATTCTCGTACAAATTTGGTCAATCAAGCTATTTATGCGGCTGGGAAAACAGCATCTGATTGCAAGACAGGAACCAACCCAAATTATCCAGCATTGTGCAGTGAAAATGAGAAGGTTGATCCAAATTATCTTAAATTTTAAATTGTTCCTGTTTGATCATTGTTACCAAAGAATCAGACCAAAGATCTTTTTATTCAAGGATAGGTTTTTGTTTCGTTACTTTTTTCCTTTTCCTCTTTTAGACCTGAAAGTTCGCTAATGAATGATTTATTTTATTAAAACTTGCTTTACTGAACTGTAAAACCAATTAAAAATTCGTGATTTTAAAATAAAAATTATTGAACAAAGCTTTGTGTTACTTTATTTATTGCAATTTAAGAGCTTAATGATAATTATGGGAACATTCGTTGTCTTTATAAAGGTAGTTCATTAATTACTTGATGCTCAGTCGACTTTAAAACATCCAGTACACAAATTAAGAAAAACGTGGTAAAATGAAGTTGTCGAAAAGCTTCATACTTCTTCTGTTATCAAGTTTTGTGTCATGCGAAACGAATTATTGCTTAACATCACTATGTTCTGGTTTAAAGCATATAGCTTGTGAAAATTCTGGTGATTTTAGTCCATCATGCTCATTTGACAGAAAAATACTAGATTTATATGAAGAACATAAGCAGTTGATACTTGATGAGCACAATAAGCTACGAAATAAAATCGCAAGTGGCCAGGAAATAGGATTCAGTACAGCATCAATGATGAGCACGATGGTGATTTTATAGAATTTTCAAAGTTTTAACTCAGGTCAAAATTTCATTATTTTTCAGATGTGGAACGACGAACTAGCAAAATTAGCGGAACTTAATGCCAAAACATGCAAATTTGAGCACGATTATTGTAGAAATACAGAAAAATTCAAATATGCAGGTCAAAATATAGCATTAAGTCAAGCATCAGATGAATTTGAAACTTTAAATGCCATAATCACAAATGCTCATCAGAATTGGTACATTGAAATCCAAAATGCATCACAAAATGTAATAGACAGCTATTATGCCTCATCAGATAAAGTCATTGGACATTTTACACAGATTGTTAATGATTTATCAAATGAAGTTGGATGTGCTGTTGTTCAATATACAGAAATTGATGGATGGAAGTCGAGTCTCTTTGTTTGTGACTATGCTCGAACTAATATTATGAATCTTCCAATTTATGTTAGTGGATATACTGCCTCGAAATGTTTTTCAGGAGTTAACCCAGATTTTCAGGCATTGTGCAGCATTAATGAAGTTGTGGATCCAAATTTGACAGATAGAAATCAATAATATTCCATGTACTAAGCTTTAGTTCCAATTCTGCATTAAGTTCTGCATTTATTTGCAAATTTAAATTGAAGTTTAATAAAATATTTCACTAAATTATGAAGCATGTCCAATTCAAACTGATGTACCGACAGATAAAGACGGAAATGTACAAAAGATTACAGCTTTTTTCCCTTCACTGATCTTCTTAATACTATATATATCCATGATTTTATGTAATGTAAAAATGCTGTCTCATAACGCACAAAAATATTAAATTTGACAAATATTTGCTGCATTAAAGTATCGTCTGTGAAGATGTTCGGAAGTGCCGTAAAAAAAGTCAAAGATTTGTATAAATGGCTAGACAAATATTCAGATCCAAGAACAAAAGATTTTCCTTTAGTTGAAGATCCATATCCAGTGTGTTTGATTTTCATAATGTACTTTATTGGAATTTGGGGATTACTAAGATACATGGAGAAGTAAGTGAACTCAATTTGGACATTAAAATGTACCTGAATATTTTATTATTAAACAGCAAAAAGCCATTCAAGCTGAATAAAGTTATGATATTCTACAACATCGCAATGGCATGTATAAGCTTAAAAATCTTCATAACAGCAGTTGAATTCTCATACATGCTTGGACATAAGTTTGTTTGTGAACCGTATACAGTGAGCTATGATCAATTGGAACTGAAATTATTAAATAACAATTGGTGGTACTACATAAGTAAAATTGTTGAATTTAGTGACACGTTGTTCTTTATTCTGCGCAAAAAGAACAGTCAACTGTCGTTCCTGCATATTTATCATCATTCATCAATATTCTTTTTGTGCTGGGTCGTTATGAAATGGTTTCCTTCGGGAAGTGGTAGGAAATATGATTTACTAAATCAAGCAAACACAGTTCCTTAATACTTTTAATTTATCAGTCGTTTCAGCACTGATTCTCAATTCCTTTGTTCATGTCGTCATGTACACTTATTATGGATTATCAGCTTTTGGGAATCGTGTGAAAAAATATTTGTGGTGGAAGAAATATCTTACGGCGATACAAATTGTAAGTACGATAATCAATAAACCACAGCATTTGATTAGGAAGGTTCATGACCACAGATTGATTGAATTTAAATTTTGTAGCTTTATACTTTTTTAAAATTCAATTAATGTGTCTGTAGATTCAGTTCCTGATTGCATTTTACATTGCGACATCAAACATCATTTATGGATGTAACTATCCATTTGGCTTGAAATGTCTTGGAGTGTTGTATGCAGCTTCTTATCTGGTAAGTCCAAAAGGCCTGCGCCCTCATCACTTCTAAAGCTATGCCTTATTTTTCAGATTTTGTTTGGCAACTTTTATAGAAAAGCATACCAAAAGAAGCTCAAGAAACAAATTTAACTTGATCAATGTCAATTACCAAAATTTACTAGTAAGGGTCATTAAGGTTAACATTTTAATTTAACAACTTTTATTTCAATAAAATTGTTAATACATTTTTCTGTCTTTGAATTTTTATATTTGTTAATAATATTAATTGAAAGTAACATCCACCACTCATTAATGCAGGACTATGATTGCTCGAGATCGGTCTACAACTTGATAAACTTTAGACAATTTGACTCTAAAATTAGACGTTGCAAATTTTGGACAAAATATTTTCATAAATGTCGATTCCTTTGAGATAGACATCAGCCTGTAAAAATTCATCATGATCATGTAGTAAGACTGGAGTGTTGTTCATTGGTGAGAATCCAATAGCTGGAATTCCTTTCGCACGAATATATGCTGCATCGGTTCCAGCTACGAATACTAAAGGCTTAACTTCCAGTTTCATTTCGTCTAAAGCTTGTTTAATACCAGTCCAGTAAATATTGGTTTCGTCTACTTTTGTTGGTGCACAATAAGGTTCTTTGGTGGGAAATTCGATATCGACTTTACGCTTGCATGCTTTTGTCCAGTCAGTGATCATAGCTTCAAATTCATTTAAATCTACGTCTAATGCCATTCTTATATCGACTGTTATTTCAATGAATGCTGGCAAGACATTTCTTTGCTTTCCGCCACTCATTTTAGTCACGTTGATTGATGTCACATTACCTAGTTCCAAATCTGGATTGTCTTCTAGTAACTTCTCCTGACTTTTTCGGAAATCGTAGATCTTTTTCAGCAATATATGCATACTTTCACCAGCAGTGTCTTGTAACAATAGAGATCCGTGACCAGGTTGGCCGTGTACTCTGAAGACAATCTCTGTAGATTAATAAACTTATTAAATACCTGAAATTGCACTTTAAAGTGCCATCCCATAAGTCATTATGGTAATATGATATCATGATAATACATGTTATATGAATCCATCACACGGAATTAAAAGCAGTCAATTAAAGAAATATTAACAAAAAACCCTTCTGACTCATGAAATCACCCCTAATCCCTTCATAACTTACGCCAACAAGTTCTTTCTCCATAAAATGCTTTGAACACATTTGTTTCTGAAGCAATTCCTTCATCCAGCAAGAATCCAACATTGAGTGCCTTAAAATCTTCAGAATTGACAAAAGCTTTCATTCCATCGGGTCCAAATATTTCTTCGTCGGGCACAAAAGTTATGTGAATTGATCTTTTTAAGTCGACATTGTTACGCTTTAATTTTCTTATTGCTCCAAGATATTGCATGCCACAACATTTCATATCTTGAGATCCACGAGCAAAAATCTTTCCTTCTTCATCTATATCAGCATCAAAAGGTTTGTGTGTCCAAAATTCCTCGAATACAGGTACAACATCCATATGAGAATTCAATAAAATTGAGGGTAAACTTGGATCACTTCCAATAAGTGAAAGAACGACTGTCGGCTTTAATTTACTGGCTGGATAATAAACATTATGTCCAAGACCAATCTCATTTGCTAACAGCTTTAAGAAGTTGACACATTGATCTGCAAAAAATAAATAAAATTATTAGTATATTGAGGATGGATTAGAAGCTTAAGCTAATACCAGTCTTAGATATTTCAGTCATTCTAATTGAATTTCCTTAAAAAATGTTTAAAATAAACAATGAGACTCAATTTTTTTGTTGATTTTTCAGTTTTATTTTCTGAATAATAGATTGCGCTGCTGTATATTAAATGTGAATGGAATGTTATGTCTATAAGTGTCTTTAAAAGTGGATTAAAAAATGTGAGATAGTGTCAAAAAACCTTATAAATGCGTTTGAAATATTGGTAAAACCTTACAAATTCAAATTTTTAAAAATAACGCTTTTCAATAGCTGCACACTGCTACATGCAATTAATCTAAATTAGCAATATTTGGAATGATCGTCTTATAGATTTCAATTCCTTTCAGATAAATATCAGCCTGAAGAAATTCATCATTATCATGAAGCAACATTGGTGAGTTATTAATTGGAGAAAATCCAATAGCTGGAATTCCAACACCTCTTAAATATCTAGAATCGGTTCCACCGGGGAAGACCTCAAGCTTAATACCCAAACCGCTACAAAAAGCAAATACATATAAAATACGAATATGAATAAAAATCAATAATCAACTTACAGTTGATCAATTGACTTCTTGAAAGCAACCCAATAAATATTTGAGTCATCCGTCTTCGTTGGTGCTATTTTTGGCTGATGTTGATCCCAAACGAAGCTAATTCCTTCACCAGATTCTTCGCACCATCTCTTTAATCTGTTCTCAAATTCTGTATGATCAATATCAAGTGCAAGCCTGAAATCGACCATCATTTTGAGTTCTGAAGGAATTACATTCGATTGGACACCGCCATTAATGATTGTTATGTTACTTGTCGTCACATCTCCAATATAGAAATTCTGACTTTCCATTCGTAGCACTTCTGCTTGTCTGAATTCCATAATTTTATTGATCAAATTCGTAAGTTTTTCTCCAACTGTGCCTTTAAGTAACATACTTCCATGACCTGCATTTCCTGTTATGATGAATTGAACTTGCCAGATTGATCTCTCAGCATAAAAGACGAGGAAGTCATTAGTTGTGCTTGGAATGCCTAATAATAATCATATTCATCAATTAATGTGTCAATTATGCTTAATTAAGTGACTTATTTACCTTCGTCCAAAGAAAATCCAATATTTAAGCTTTTAAATGCTTTTGTATGCACAAATTCTCGCATTCCATCAACTCCACCAATTTCTTCTTCTGGTACGAATGTACAGTGGATAGTTCTTTTAAATTGGATCTTATTCCTCTTAAAATACCTTAAAGCACCAAGATATTGAGTTCCAATTGACTTCATGTCTTGTGATCCTCGAGCATAAATTCGACCTTGATCATCAATATCAGCAGCAAATGGTTTATGCGTCCATAGATTCTCATAAACAGGCACAACATCCATATGCGAATTAAGCACGATAGAAGGCAAATTTGGGTCAGTTCCGACCCATGTCAATATCACAACAGGTTTTTTCTCGGTCACCGGACATTCCACTTTAAAATCCAAGCCCAACTCAGTAGCTTGTCGACGCAAAAAATCCACACACGGTTCTAGAACAATAATTTAAATTAAGAGCACACATGATCACTTCCACGCTCACTACAAAATAAATTTTGTTTGCTGCTGCTTGCTGTTCACTCATTATCATTTCTCAAACATGTCATTAACTTAATATGGGATAGTCTTAATCACTTCATTATTATCACTTCTTTTGTAATTTGATATGATAAAAAAAATACTTGAAAGGAACTGAAGAGTATTGTGAGATGTTAAGAATGGAAATGATTTTAGTTCAGGTTGGGGGTTATTCATCAATGATTATAAATTTTTGAGGGGGGGGGGGGTCATAAAATTCCGAAATTTAAAAAATACAAATTTTTATAGAATTAAGATCGAATAGTTGCATTTAATATTCAATAATAATGATCTTCTGTAGCTGAATATTCTAGATAACAAGTGAACAATGTCCAAAGGTTTTCCATCTTGCATATAAATTTACTTACTGTAGTCAATATTGGGATGAACTGAAGGTATCCTTAAATATTCACGGAAAATTTTAATTTCCTCGTTATCTTCCCAGGCACTCATTTTGTGGATATATCTTGGTCAATTCAAAAACTGAAGTGAAAAAGTAAAAATTCATGTAAACTCTTTTAAGTGTGGATGTTCTATACTGAACATTTTTGCGTAAATATTAAGATAAATCAGCTTTCATAAAAGGTTAAATCTTCGAAACCAGTATTTAACTCACAAGAACAAAAATATTCTTAAAATTGATTTTTTTCGCAAAAATAACAGAAATTCACATCAATTGTTTTTGAAGTCAATGAGCTGGTCAAGACACTCAACATTTTTAAATTTAAAGACTTGCCAAAACCATTCAAATTCTTTTCACAAATTTCCAAATTAACGAAACTATTCTCAAATCTGTACAATTCCTTCAACAAATGTCTCAAAACCATACAAATGTTTTTAAAACTGTACGACCAAAATGACACATAATTTAAATATTCAGTATGCTTAAAAATCACAAACAATTTAGCACTCTTTCTTTTAAACTCACATACTTAATGACAATGCGACGTGATCAACAGCCTAAAGCGATCTGACTTGAAACAATCGCTTCATTGTTGTTTAAGTAGACACTCATTTAGAGAGCGGAATCATTATCAATTGTCGTAAATTCTCTGTATTCTCTGTACATAACATATTACACATTTAAAAGTAAAATATCACATGTTAAGCACTGATAACACAAGGTCAGCATCTCGAAAAATTTTTGAAATTAGAAGAGAGCTTTTTGTCAGAGCTTTATTGTGGCTAATAAATTTATTGGCATCAAAGTCTCTTTTTCTTAATTGAATTTTTGTTGATGTAGCATCGCTTCTGTGAATTCTTAATGGTCCATCAAACAAAAGCAAACTATTTTGAATGTTTAATTTAAATTTACAGCCACAGATCATTGTGTGGACATAAAAATAACAGATAAGCAAAGTCAAGTGCACTTTGAATGAAACAAAGAAATTAAATTGTTGATCTTTATGAATTGCACTCATCTCAATCTGGGGTGCATCTGTAAAAGACGTTTATTTAATTTTATTGGATTGTGGACTCAAAATATAAAGGAGAAATATCCCACAAAAATTTTAGTTCCATCAATAACCACTTTATGGTCAATAAATAGAAATAAAACCAAAATAATTATCATAAATTAAATTATCTTTTTTATTCAACAATTTCGATAATACCGCAAAGTACATATTAATAAACAACCACGACATATTTGTAATCACTTTAAAGCCCAAAAACATTTTCAATTCGATAAAATTTAAGCATTTCATGCGTTTGCAACATTATTGATAATTTTCTTGTAGATTTCAATGCCTTCAAGGTAGACATCAGCTTGTAAAAATTCATCATGATCGTGAAGCAAAACTGGTGTGTTGTTCATAGGTGAAAAGCCAATTGCTGGCAGTCCAACACTGCGTAAATAACGAGAGTCGGTTCCACCGGGAAAAACCTGAACTTTGGTTTTTATGCCTCTGGAAAATTTAATTAAAATTAACTTGATGGAATTTGTAATAATTTAATAATTACGTACATTTCGCTGACTGCTGACTTAAATGCTCCCCAATAAATATTAGATTCATCTAAGCTTGTGGGTTGAATATATGGATCTTTAAGATCAAATTCATATTCTACATCACCAGCTTCTGAACACCATGACTTGACCATATTCTCAAATTCTTCATGATTAATATCAACAGCTAATCTAATATCTGTCATTATCTTGATATTAGGAGGAACTGTATTAAGTTGAACACCACCATTTATCATAGTTATATTAACTGTAGTAACATCTCCTATTGTGAGATCTGGATTATCTTGTAATTTTCTAACTTGAGTGTCCCTATAGTCATAAAATCTATCCAAAAGTGTTCGTAAACGTTCTGGTGCTGTATCTTTCAATAAGAGAGCGCCATGACCATTGTTGCCATTTATTGTAAATATTATATGCCAAATGCATCTTTCTGCATAGTAAATGTTGAAGGTGTCTGTCGGTGATGCGATTCCTTAAAATTCAAATTTTCATGAAACATTATTGTGGATTGGAAGCACATTTGAGTATTAAGTAAATACCTTCATCGATTGAAAATCCTGCATTCAATGATCGAAATTCAGTCGTGTGAACAAAATCTGCCATCCCACCTTGGCCACCTTTTTGAAAGAAATACATATTCACAATGAACTAAGGTTTAATAAACGAATGCATGATTATTCAAACTACCTAATTCTTCATTCGGTACAAAAACAACATGAATTGTACGCTTAAATGTGACATTTTTTCGTTTAAAGTATCTCAAAGCGCCGAGATATTGCATACCACAACATTTCATATCTTGTGCACCTCTCGCAAAAATGCGTCCATCTTCATCCATCTCGGCATCAAACGGTTTATGAGTCCAATATTCCTCAAAAACTGGCACAACATCCATATGAGAATTAAGTATAATAGTTTTTAATTCTGGCTGAGTGCCAAATAGACTGATAACAACGACTGGCTTAGTTTTTTCTACTGGATGATACACTTTAGATGTCAATCCGATTTCTTCAGCAAGTCGAAATAAAAATCGCACACAATCGCCTATATGAATCAAAGATAAATAAAATTTATGTGTCAAAGGCATATATCTAGCACGCCGTAATTAAGTGGCGTTATTTACAATCTAAATTTAAGTTTTTTGCAAATACAATCGAGTTAAAAATAGATTTTATGTAGCAAAAACATCCATCTGATTCCCTGTGTTATAAATTAATCAGATAGTCAATATTACTTACGATAATCAATATTTGGATGAACTGATGGGATCCTCAAGTACTCTCGAAATATCTGGATCTCTTCATTTTCTTCCCAGGACTCATACTGCTTGATTCTAGCATCATCCTTTATTATTAAATCGAATTCCATTTCGCACTTAGTCACTCAATAATTTCACTGGCACAATTTAATTCTAATTAAGTCACTTCTTATCTATATTATGTCTGCCGATAAACTTAATACAAGCTTAATCTTCAAGGCTGCAGACGGAAATTTTCCAGAATTTTCATATAAACAATTGGAAAATTGAGAAATAAAGGATGTTGAATGAAATTATCTACTAGACAAACTGATTCTTGACAACACGAGACTTCTTTAACAGATGATGTCTGAATTTCAATTGAGTAAAGCAGATATTCTCAATGAAAATTATTTCTTTAAACGAAGTTCTTTTTATAGGTACGCAGTACGAACACTAACAGCTGATTGACTTTAAATAAATCCGGTGATTTAAAATTAATCCTTTGTTTACGTTTTCAAGCGTTTAAAAGCAGTTTTTTAAATTTTAGATAATATTAATTAAATTAAAAGAATTCCAATGGCTGATGTGAAGAAGTATAAAGAAATCGATCTATATGATCTTATAGGAGCTGCAAATGATGCAACAGAATCGGAAGTGAGTCAAAATAGCACAAAATTTTACAAACTTTATAAATGTCAGTAAATTAAAAAATATTTTTGCATTTTAGATCAGAAAATCATACAGAAAGAAAGCTTTAACATGCCATCCTGATAAAAATCCAGATCCAAAAGCAGCAGAATTGTTCCATAAATTACAAGATGCTCTTCAAATATTAACAGATAAATCAGCACGAAATGCTTACGATAAATTACAAAAAGCAAAGAAGGAAGCAGAAATTAGGAACCGACAACTTGATAGTAAACGTCAAAAACTCAAATCAGATTTGGAAGCAAGAGAAAAGGAAGCTGCAAATAGAAAAGAATCAAAATATGACAGTAAAACAGCTGAGGAAGTCTTTCAAATGGAACTTGAGCGCGTCCTTAAAGAAAATAAAAAGATCCTCGAAGAAGAGAATGAATTAATGAGACAAAATTTCGCAAGTGCTCATATATCATATGCTGCTACATCATCAGGCTGGGATTCTTCAAAACATCGAATAAAAATTAAATGGAAAGCTGAAAAGAATGATGAAACAAATGGAGGATATAGCTATGAAAATTTAACGAAATACCTTGACAAATATGGAGATATTGTAGCTCTTGTTATATCCTCAAAAAAGAAAGGAAGTGGTGTAGTTGAGTTTAAAAGTCAAGATGCAGCTGAAATGGCAGTTCAATATGAAAAAGGAATCATTAGCAATCCATTGAAAATGGAATGGATTGGCGATGCTCCAAAAAGCAAAAAAGCAGGAGTAACAGTAACAGAATCAGACTATGAGAGTCTTGTCTTGCGACAAATGAGACAAGCTGAGGAACGAAGGAAATTGATTGAGCAAATGATGAAGGAAGATGCTGATGATTAATGGAATTACAGCATAAAAGGAAGCATTAATAATGATTTAAATGTAAAACTTTTATTAATTTTTTAAATATGTAATAAAAAAAGAAGTCTAATTAATTGCAAGTTTAACTTTTGTTATATCGCCGATTAAATTAATTATTGCCACAAGACTATCGATTTCATCTCGTTTCAGTTTATGTTCTTCAACACATTTTACATACTGCATAATGTCAATTTGAAGCTGTAACCGAATTTTGTCATCATCAGACATAAGTTGTCTCTCGTCGTTAACAATTGACGATGACTGTGATTTCTTTAAGTTCTTCAATCTTCTCAATGATTCTTCTGTTCTTTGAACGGATGTAAGAACTTCACTGACTGACTGATAATACTGGATTGTTAATTTACTAAACAGTTCCTTTAATATCCGTTGAATGACTTCCGGTTGATAATTTTGTGAATATTTTTGCATAAAGTCATCTATTGGCTGTAAAATCTGATCAACATATGGCAAGTGCTTTGTTGGAACCTCACGATTCGTTTTTCTGAATAATCGAGGAATGTCTTGAACATTTTTAATAGACTTGAGACACGATATCATCAGTTTCTTCATTATTTGATTTTCAATATTTCTTTGGCATTCAATAAATGCATTTTGTGGTGCTTCAAAGCACTTCTTAATGCTTGTCATGTCCATTTTATCTTTTAGGACTGAATTTTCTTTCAATTTTTGATGCAGAAGTTCCTCAATTTGTGGAAATTTTAATATTAGGGTCCCAATGTCTTTATAAAAGACTGAATAGAATGATTGAAGGTCAATTTTTAATTCTTCGCTATTTTCTGATGTTTGTTTAAGAACATCTTGTGTCCATCGGACAGCTCTTGATATAAGCTGAAGAGTTAATTTAAGGAAATTCGAATAAAGCTGGTCTAAGAAAATTCCATCTTTCCAACAAGTTGCAATTGAATTAATAACTTCAACAAAGACTTTAACTTGCATTTGATTAGAATCTGAATGTACAATCATTGTATCCCAATTAATGTCACAGAACTTTTCTAATGTCGTCGATATTTCTTGATTCCTAATTTGAAAATAAACTGGCAAGTTCCATCGCTTTTGAAATTTCCTATATTGCTCATGATCATGAAATTTTTCAATCAGCACTGGATCATCAATAATCATATCTATTCGTTTAAGAAACTCCATTGTGCACTTAAACTTTTGATAGAATTGATCAGAAAGTCCTGGATTAAAAATGGAAGTAAGATTAGTTTCTAGTCTTTCCTCTGTAGCACTCCAAAAGCTATTGAATAGAAAATTATATCCTTTGACTTTAATCGTTTTTCCACGAGTCAGACTTAGGAGCTGTTTCATTTTTAGTGATACAAAATCCAAGATCTGATTATAAATTCCAGTCAAATTTTCTGGATGCTTATGCATGTTCTTCTCGCTGATTATCTTTTCCATATAAGTTGATGTCTCTTTTCGGAAAATATCTTCGGCTAATTTACATTTATCAAGTGTATAGTAGATTCTTAAACATCGTTCTAGCTCATTTGATGATGAATTTTGGTCTAGTGCTTGTAGAAAGTATTCATTTAAATTCTTTAATAAAATTACTTCTTGCTCATCAATTAACGCCTTTTCATTGGAATTAAGGAAATGATGACAATATTTAATGTTAAATTGCAATTGAATGAGTTCCAGTGCGACTCTTTCTAATATAATCGATCTTTCCTTGTCATCACTACTCGTTGAATCCATTAATTTTTGTATTTTTTCTAATGACTTTCTGGATGTCTCTAAGGAACTAAGGCTTTTACGTATCTGTCTAAATCGACGTTTTTCGTTTAGGCACTCATTGATTTCATTCATACAATCCTGTAGATTTGTTCTAACAGTCAGAATTTCCTCTCGTAACTGAATTAAAGGATCTTTTAATATGTTGATTGACTTGTCCAAATTAACAAGATTCGATGATAAATTTACAAAATCAGCGTAATCCTCATTAATCAGCTCTATCATAGCCGACCTAAGGATCTTTAGATATATTCCTAAATCATCCCGAAATGTCTCTAAAGTTGCTGAATATCGATAATTGTGCAAAAAATCGTCAACAGAAAAATTTGTCTGAAAAATGTCATTTTTGTTAATTCCAGTTTGATATTCTAGCGTTCCTCGATACATACCTTAAAGAACTCATTAAAATCAAAGCATAACTCGGTAGATGACGACGGAATATTGAATAAATTCATTTTTATTCAGTTTTAAAATTTTTTATTATTTTTTTGCCACGAATTGATCTTAACTTCCGTGCTAGATACTCAGTTTTCCCGGTTTTCAAAATATTTCTTTTTTAAAAAGCTGCTATCAATTTTATGCAACTTTATCAATAACATTAAGCCTTCAGAGGTTGAATAAAATCAAAGATTGCAACAAAAATCTGTAAAATAAAAACTCACGCACAGAAGTTCAAAAAAGTTTCAAAAATTTCATAGTTTTGCGTCCCTCAAATTTGAACAACAACAACAACAACAACAACAATTTAGCCTTATTCGAATAAAATAATCATTAATTAAATTTTTGCCAAAATGAGCACACCTAAAGTGATTAAAATAAGTTCAGACTTTAAAAAGAAGATGAGGCAAGAGTATGAGCGACTGAAAACATTACAGGAATCACAGGAAAAGGAGATAATCGTTGATACTTGGAATGAAAATCGGTAATAAATATTCTGTTTGCCGCGCTTAAATGTGCATTTGCAGTTCATGGACATTCATTTAATTTTCTCTTCTTATTCATCACAGAAAACAATGTAAAGCGAATGTTGATGAGATTCTGGAGCGTTTTAACAGCATTAATTGCACTTTTCAAGATAATGTTTTTAATCCTGAGCATAAAGATCATTTGAAGAAAGCTACAATAACAACTCACGATGGAAATAAGCAGTCTGTACCAACATACGTCCTCTCAAATGTCATTCCAATCCCTAATATGTGTTCCTGGGCTCCAGTTCAACAGAACTTTATGGTCGAGGATGAAACTGTAAGTTATTTTCATTCATAATACACTTGCTGTTTTCACAGTTTGATTTACTATATATAGGTTCTATATAATATTCCATACATGGGAGACGAAGTTCTGGATAAAGATTCGGAATTTATTGACGAGCTAATTAAGAATTATGATGGAAAAGTTCATGGCGATAATGACGAGGAATATATTGATGATAAGCTGTTTGTAGACTTAGTTAAAGCAATGATTCCTTTTCAATCAAAAGCTGTAGAAATACCAATAATCAATAAACCACTTACTAGAGAAAAAGAAAAGGAAATGAAGGAAGATTCTGACTCGAATACATTACAAGATCCAGCAAAAGAGAATGGCGATTCCAAAGATCAATTTCCAAGTCAAAATATTTTTCAAGCAATTAGTGAAATGTTTCCAACCAAAGGAAATCCAGAAGAACTAAGACAAAATTATATTGAATTAACAAAGAGTGTTGATCCAAATCGTCCACCAGAATATTGTACACCAAATATCGATGGATTAAATGCTGAATCAGTTAGTCACGATCAAACTTTACATTCTTTCCATGCATTGTTTTGCAGACGATGCTTTAAATATGATTGCTTCTTACATAGACTATCAACTAATCCAGGACCAAACTTACAAAAGAGAAAAGGTCCAGAATTGGAAGTTGTAGAAGAGCCATGCAGTCCAAAATGTTATATGCACTTACCAGGTGCTAAAACTTCAACGTCTGAAAACAGAAAGAGTAAAAGCAATGCAGACGAGAAGAAAAGAGAAAAAAGTGAATCAATGGTTAAATTTGATACAGCATTAGATGCCGACGAAGTATGGACTGGATCTGACCAATCATTCTTTCGTGTATTACATCGTTGTTTTCTCAACAATTATTGTGCTATTGCTCGAGGTCTACAGACCAAATCGTGTCAACAAGTTTATGAGTTTGCACAGGAAGAGCTTAAACACATTGAACCGTTAGAGTTGGGAAAAAATGCTTCACCTCCAAGAAAGCAACAAAAGAAAAAGATTAATACTAAATTGTGGACCATGCACATCCGAAAGAATGCAAGGAAGGAAGCAAATGCAAACAATGTCTATAATTATACACCGTGTGATCACAGTGGTCCCTGTCAAGCTTCATGCCCATGCTACGAGAGCTCAAATTACTGTGAAAAATTCTGTAATTGCTCATCGGAATGTCCAAATCGTTTTCCTGGATGTCGCTGTAAAGCACAATGCAACACAAAACAATGTTCTTGCTATTTGGCTGTTCGTGAATGCGATCCAGATTTATGTCAATGTGGAGCTCATCAATTCCATTTGAATAAAATGACGTGCAAGAATGTAAGCGTGCAGCGTGGATTACGTAAACATTTATTAATGGCTCCATCGGATGTCGCTGGATGGGGCATTTTCTTAAAAGACGGAGCTCAAAAGAATGAATTCATTAGTGTAAGTAGAAATTATTTTGTCATTAGACATTTGACTTAATAGCTTTACACTTTTTTTCTAACAGGAATATTGTGGAGAAATTATATCACAAGAAGAAGCTGATAGACGAGGAAAAGTCTACGATAAATATGCTTGTAGCTTCTTATTTAATCTAAATAATGACTTTGTTGTTGATGCAACGCGTAAAGGTAACAAAATCCGTTTCGCAAATCACAGCATAAATCCAAACTGTTATGCAAAAGTAATAATGGTTAACGGAGATCATCGAATTGGGATTTTTGCTAAGCGAGTCATTCAGCCTGGCGAAGAGTTATTCTTTGATTATCGTTACGGTCCGACTGAACAGTTGAAATTTGTCGGCATTGAGCGTGAAATGGAAATTTTGTAAGTCTTAGATTCTTACACTGCCTTAGATCTATCTCATCTTGAGCATATAGCTGATGGAAAATCTGAATTTATTTTTTAATTATTTTTTTTTATTTAAATTTTTTATTTTATCAACTAGACTCTAGTAATACATAATACTTGTATTTACCTAAATTAGATTCTATTAATTCTATAACTTTACTTATTCACTTGACTTTTGCATATACGTAAAAATAATAAAAGTAATTAAAAGTACCAAAAATCGTCTTAACTTAATTAACAGCTTGCATGCTTGAGTTTAAAAAAATCTAATTAAATGAAGCTCGTCAATCTGAAATCAATTACATGCTGTATCATTGAGAGATTTCAGATTAAGGATTAAAGTATAAAATTATTATCAGTCACTTATTTTCTAGAGAGAGAATGTGTGTACTTGCTATTATTACATAAAACTCGCTACTAAGTACTTGGAACTACCATTAAGATGTAAATAAATCAACAGGTGATTTAATAAATCGTCTTTAAATGCATGGATAAAGTAAAACTTAAAAGCCTCAGGCCGTTTATGGCAAAAGGCGTGGATTAAATCTACCCATAAATAAGATAATTCCAGTTGGGTTATGTCGCACGAAATAAAGGAACGGACGATCAAATCGTAGTCGAGGATTTTCTGGTAATCTAGCCTGTCTTGGACGAAGTGGCAAAGGAACATTCATGTATCGTGAGTCATAAATAGGATCATAAAAGAGTGATTTATATTGCATGGTTCCATCAACTGATGCCATTTCATAACGTGCCTCTTCTGCTTCATTTGCAAATTCTCTCTTCAGTGCTGGCGATGGATATATTTCAATATGATGTGAATCTCCAATCTTATCTTCACCACAAGTTGTAAATTGATTGATTTGCATCATATCGGAAAAGTACAAGTCAGTTGACGAAAGTCCAGTAATTCCACGCAAATCAGCCTTTTCAGAATCAAACATATCTTTTAATCCCATTTGTTGTAATGCATAAGTTGTATTAATTAATGATCGATGTGAAAATCTTGGAATTTGAACTTCAAGTCCTGGACGGTCCATGAATGTTGTCAATAATCGTCCCCAGACATCATTTGAGGAATCTAGGAAAGCATTTTCTAATCTCTCTAAATTATCACCTGGCGATAGACTTCCTTGTTGACCTGGCATTACTAAAATTGTTGATTGTAGATCATCGCCAAAGGCAACAGCAGTTGCGTCCAAAATTGGATCATAACCAGCTGTGAAACCACGTCGAAAAACTGCCGCAGGAATTGGAACTAATCGTCGTTGTCGAATGGCTGGTGAAACTTGGAAGAACATCTCTCCATCTCTCTCATTGAAAAGACTTCCTGAACAGTCAGTCTACATATTTTAAAAAGTATCAAAAAGAAAATAAATTGCGATAGATAAATAAAAACTAATTAAGAAACTCTGTCAAATTAGCACATACCATAAAAATGTTTGCCGAAACAGCAGCAAGTGGTTCGTTGACCCAAATATTGTTGGTTTTAAGATACTCTTTTATTTTATTATATGTATGCTTTTTAACTAGCAAATTAGTTCTGCGTCTCAAAATATCATTTACCACATTAAAGTTGACTTCTTCAACATGCGCGCCATAAAATTGTTGTGCCTTCTCTTTAAAGTATGGCAGAAGCTTTCCTTTCGTTCGATCACTGTACAATTCTCTGGCAAATGCAGCTGCAGCAATTCCAGAATTTCGTGATTGCTCAACAGATTCAGAGATATTACGGAATACAACGTGTGGATTAAATGTTACTGTGTCATCAAGACGCAATAAGTCATTCATTTCTCCCGACGTTTGCCCACGTGCACCAAGGAATATCATTGATAATGTAGATGTTAATGCAAATGGTGAAATAACGACGCTTCGTGACTGACTTATTCCATCAGCTGTAATAGACTTCCAGAATGTAAATGCCAATTCATTACATAATTTTGAGAAATCACTCAAGTCTGAATTTAAATTAGCTGTACTTGCAGCTAAGCCGAGATTTTCTTTCGGACTAGAGCTCAAATCAATTGTCTGTATAATTGGTCTAGTATGGACTTGAAATTGTTGTGCATTCTTTATCGAATTTTTAATACTCTGAACATTTGCAGCTGTTGATACAGTCGTTTTAAATTCAATTGGTGTTTTGGCTGATGATGAATGTATTGTTGTCGGTGGCTTAGTTTGAACTTGAATTTGAACTAAATTTTCATCACTTGCCATCATTATTGGTGCTGATGTCATTTCTTTTGGAACTTTCTCTATCAATGGAACACGTTCTGTTAGTGGTTCGTCCGTTTTCTCATCGCCACTCTCATGTTTTTCAATTAAAAGTTTAGTCGCTTGTGAAGGAACAATGTCAGGAAGTGAACTTGATTTTGCAGTTGTCGCACGTTGAGCAAGTGAAATTGGCTTTACGATCTCATGCGTTATATTTTTGGTGTCATTTATATTCGGACTGGAAGTCGTTGTTCTCATCTTCTTTGTTGACATATCTATGCTCTCAATTTTAATAAAATTTCCCTCTGTAATTGGAATTTTTGTACTTGTCGGAATTGCCGGTGTCATGATATTAATTTCTTCTAATGAGTCTTCCTTTCTTATTATACTCAATTGTACCATTGGACTTGAATCGTTGACTTTATGCTTATTATTGTTTTTTAAAGGAAATTTTGGCAATTTCTTTGTCGCATTTGGTACTTTATAGACTGTAGTTGTAGTCAAATCTTCTTCCGACAATATAGATTCCAATGTTGTTGGTGCTTCATCAAATTTTTCCGTTGTCATTTCTTCTTGAAATTCTATAGTTGTACTTTGAAATGCTTCACTGCTTATTTCAATTAAATGTTCATTTTTCCTCTCAGGCAAATTCATCTCCTCTTCGTGATTTTCTGTTTCTGTAATTACTTTTTGCGTTGATGTACTTTCTGGTTGTTCTTTTGGAATAACTGTGGTTCTTAAAAGTGTATCGGTAATTTCATCACTTTCAGTATCATCATTTAATGTATCAGAGATGCTATCAGCGACAGATATCAAGCTATTTGCAATTTTTGATGTGAGTGTAAAGTCTGTATTTATGTCTGTTTGAAGTGTCTTGTCAAGTGTTGATGAGATCTTTGATATGGTGCTAACAATCTCATCGCTTTCTTCACTTTCCGTCGTTGGGGCATCATTAACATTATTAATCTGAAGATTTTTCTCAGTACTTGCATTCTCTTCCTCTCCATCTTCCTCGCTATTCGATGATAATCCGATTACATCGAAAACATTAGAAACCAGATCAGCCGGTGTCTCTTCTTCTTCTTCCTCTGTATCATTATCTTCGTCAGAATCTGTTAATGGCGGGAATGTTGTGGTAAATGCTTCATTTTTCCTCTCGCTGATTCTCTTTTCGCTCGTTACAAACTGTTCTGTTGTAAATTCGCCAAGATTATCATCAGTTGTTTCCTCAACTGAACTGTCACTCACGTAGAAAAATGTTGTAAATTCTTGCGTCGTTGGATCTTCAGTCATTGTGGTTTCTTCTTCTAAAATTGATGATACAGTTGTACTATCTATTTCGCTATAAATTTTGTCATGATGCAAGGACGAAGATGATTTTTCTTCAATAATTGGATGCACTTTTTTAACCGTCTCGAATGTACTCGTCTCTAAATCTTCAGACATAGGTGTTTCTGTTGTCGTGACCATATCTTCTTTAACTAATGATAATGACTCTAATTCATTTCGTATAGAACTCAGATCTTTATAATGATAAAGTAATTTATTTAATTCATCTAATGATGGTTCTATAGCTTCAGGCGTTGTTTTGCTTGTCGTCTGTGGTAATTCTGTGACTGTTGTGGATGATTTTACTATTGGTGCTTTGGTAGTACTGACTGTAGACACTTTTATAATCGGTTTTGTTGTAGTCTCTGGCAATTCAGCACTTACTGTAGACGTTTTTCTAAATTCTTGTTCTTTAATCATCTGCTCAATAACATTCGAAAGTGCTTCGCTTAGAATTGTTGAAATTGTCGTTTCACTTTCTTCATTAGCCATAACTGTCGTTGTTGTTGGAGGCATTTCTGTAGAACGTTGTGTGATTTTTGTAAAGACTAATGGAGCTTTTGTAGTTTTTGTTGTCTTTTTATTAAAATTATTTTCCAATTGTATTTCAGTCTCATCGTCATCATCAAAACCGAGAATGTCAAGTTTCTCAGCACTTACTTTATTTTTCGACTTATTTTGTTCTAGTAAAAGCTTTTCAATTGTTTCCATAACTTCGTTATTTTCCAACAATGAAATGGAATCTTCTTTCGAATTCACGGTTGTAGTGATCTTTTCAGATGTCTGTTCATTTTCTATTGTAGCCATTTCATCTATAACTGGCGCCTCTGTTGTGAGAATATCTTTAACTATAGACTCTTTCTCATCCAAGTATAATTGATTATTAACAAATACATTGTCAGGCACGTGATTTATGTTGTCAGATTCTTGCTCTACAATTTGCATGGTTGTTGTCCTTTCATCAACTTGAGGCGAAGCCATTGTTGTAGATGAGGATTCCTTCATGTCATTATTGAAAGGTTTGAATAAGTGATTCATATTGAAATCATTATTTTGAAGTGAACCAATAATTTGACTGATTGCAAGGTCTTGACGGATTTCTTCAGATGAAGGTAACTCAACACTTGTAGTTTCTTCGTTTATCATTTCCATTACAGTTGTTTCGGGTATTTTTGGCTGTTCTGTTGTTGTGAAAGTTTCTAATTTTATTGGTATTAATGACATTGTTGTAAACTTTTCCTTTTCAGTCATGATTGGACGAGAACTTGAGAATTTTATTGTTGATGAGCTACTTGGAGCTTCATATTCTGTAGTTGTAGTGTGTGTTGTCAATATTGTTGATGGAGCTTTCGTAAATACCTTCGTTGGGGGTGCAAACGTTTCTATTTTTACGACTTCCATCATTGTTGGTCTTTGTGTTGTACTTGAAATGATTGAAAGAGTTGATAAAATCGTGCTTGGTGCGTGTGTCGTTTTCTCGAAATTACTTTCATTCTTCATTTCGACCATTGCAGGCTTCATTTCAATCTTTGTAATCTGGGAATCTTTAATCAATGAGCTTGCTGGTACTTTATGAAGTATAGATTGTGTCGTGCTGTTTTTCCTAACATTTGAAGCTGTGGGTTTCTTAATGATCTTTCTTGTCGTTGTTCTAGTTACTGGAGACCTAGTTGTACTTTCAGATGATGTCGATAATTTTGTGGTTGTCGAGTATGGACGGCTTGTAATTAATACTGTTTTTGTGGTTTCATCTACATCATCTTTAATCGATGGTATATTATTGATTATGGAAACAATAGGTCTTCTAGTTGTACTTCTGAAAGCTGAATTTGTCGGTTTTGTCTTTACAGTTTGCTGTTTCTTGGTTGTGCTTGATGTAATTGGTTTTTTCGTTAGAACAGTCGTTCGTTTTGTTGTAGACGGCAATTTTGTTGTGGATTGAGTGATTTTTTGCTCCAATTTTGTAGTTTGTTTCTTTGGTGCTAAAGTAGTTTTAGTTGTGGGAATTTTACGAGTAGTAGTTGCTGGAGGTCTTTTACTAATTGGACGTCTAGTCGAAGTCGTTTGTTTTATTGTCGTGGTATCAATTACTTCAGCTTCTGGAGTCATATTGATTGGAACTTGTGGCAATATTTCATCACCAGTATTTCCGAAAATTGCTGGCAAAATCATCGACCATGACGATGAGACGTTAGGCGTATCCAACAATTCATGTGGAATAGTCGAAATATTTTTGTTATTCTCCATTTCACGACTTAATACATTTTGAACCGTATCTACTATGTCTTGCACTTTCGTGTCAGAATCGTGATTTGAGTTTGTTAACGGAATAGAATTAAGAATTACGGATTGAGCTTCATTCGGATCATTATCACCACCAATCAATGCACCGTTACCATTCGCAACAATACTTTGAATCTCTCGTAATGTCATCAACCTTTTTACAAGCTCACCCTTTTCATTAAATGTGTAAAATTCATAACGATCTGGATTTAATAAATTTATTGGACTTGCAACCTGTGGCGGAACAAATGGTCTCGGTACTGTCTTTCCAACTGCATCAGTAAATTGAGGTTCCTCATTGCCATTCATTATCACACTGACGGAAGTCACGACACTAATAATATTTTATTTATGATATGCAAAGTGAGAAAAGAAATGAGAATTTAAAGCATATCCATTAGTCATGATGAATTCTTAAAAATAATTTACCTCTGTCCAATGATTTTTCTTGATTTATCACTATCAGTTTCTGGCACGTTTGACAAATCTGACGGTATTGCTGTTGGGTGTGCTATTGAAAGTCTCAGTGAGACCGCAAGCAGTATAATTATTCTCTTCATTATTGGTAAGAAGAAACTAGAGTATGTGACAAAAAGAGTAAATTATAAATCATTAAATGCCATTTTATCGGATATAATTAACATTATTCCTTAAATTGCTGCTTTAAAGTCATGATTGCTTTAATATAATTCTATACATATCATATTTACAAAGTTTATGAGCCACACGAGCTGAAGTGGCTCGGTGGCGGAATGGTTTAGTACTTCGGTACCTAATTATTGCAATACCGACACAGCGATCATGGGTTCGAGACTGGGTATGGGAAATTTTTCACTTGTCCTTTTTCGAATCATTTGTACTGGAAATGAGGCTCACAGCCTTCCTTTGTAGGCTACAGACAGAAATGTCATCAAAGGAGTGGTTCGGATTCCACTATAAATTGTAGGTCTAGGTTTGAGTGCAGTGATTTGGCGCATCCTCACTCGTTAAACTCACATTAGCTGCGAATCGCCCTAGCGCACCTCTGGATCACAATTGATCTGAATAGGTAAAGGTTTTTTTTTTTTTTTTTTTTTTTTTTTTTTTTTTTTTTTTTTTTTTTTATGAGCCACACAAAGCCATTTCCATTGTTATTCCTAGAGAATTTTCTCACGAATCAGTCAAAAATGTTCAGATTATGAGCATAAACAGCTATTGTATTCTAATTTCATTTTGTTTTGATCCATAAAACTTTATTTATAAAAGCTCAACTAGAGCGATTAATAAATCATCACATTAGAAAACGTCTCGAATGGATTAGAACAACAGCAGATGGATGCGTGAGAAAAAAGCTATTGTAAATTATTAATTTAACACTTTAACACAACTTGAGGCTATAAAAGAAATAGGAGACACTACTGGAATCGAGTGGCAAAACAACGTTGTAAAATGTTAATTACACGCATACATGAAGATCCCCGTTAATGTTATAACGATGCAGAAGTAGCCACCTACTGTGATTATAAAGAGCGCATTCAAGTATGTACAGTTCAATGGAAAGACTCAAGAACTTTCAACAAAGACTTGAAAAAGCTACCAATTTCTTTTTATTCCCAAAAAATATCAGTATCTGATGAATTAATCTTGCTTAAGGCAGACAGGCATTAAGAAGAGTAATTTCTAATTTGTGTGTGGCTTATTGGCGGGGCGCTAAATCACCATCATTATCTTGATCATTAGCTGTGTGAAAACATTTCAATATTACATGACATTAATGGATATGATGAATAGATTTTTAATTCTATTGCCTCAACCACTTAATTTCCATCGTTTTGTTGTTTTATGTCTCATTTTTTATGAGAATTCCTCTTAAAAGAGAGTGAAGAAATATTTGGAACGACGCGTGATATTTTACAGCGTGTAAATCATTTCATTCATTCTTTTATTCCTTGCTTGATGTCGCGACTGGCACAATTTTCCCAAAAACTCATCTCATATTTATAATAATATACAGTGATTTTTGAGACTGTGTACTCGATGACATATTGCTCTACTTTACTCATCCATCCATCGTCAACATTGAATTATGCGAGAATGTAGTTTTGTATAATTTATATTTTGTGCGTGCACAAATAATTGAATGGATGTACTCAAGGAATAAAGAAGAAATTCACTTAAAACTATAGGAAAAAAGAGAATTAAATGGATATCAAGAAGAAGATTGGAATGATGAAATTATTTCTTTTCCTTCTCTTATTTCATTCACAAACAATTCAGTTTTTATTCCAGCTGTTTATTTAGCAAGTGGAAATAACGGAATTGCCTTTATATTCTTTATTTTTATTTTTGTTTGCTCGCTACTTTTATTCTTAAGACTTTTCTTTCCAACAATACTGATGAGCTGTTGCTGACTTTAATAATATTCAGTAGAAATAATCTATTGTTGTGTCAAGACATATTAAAGTATCAAATGAGTGCTTACAGATATATACATGTGTGAATATGCCAATAAAAATTCATTATCATGTCGATTTCTTGATCACGTTTGTTCCAGTCCCAGTGCCAGTATGTAAAAATAGAAATGAACAAAAGAGTGAAAGATGTCTATTGAATTGTGTGTCAATTCCGATAGCAAAAATTATTAAATATAGCAAGAATCACATCTTTTACATCTCGTCCGTGCCACATTTCGAATAAAATGAAAAGTAAATAATAAAAAGAGAACCTGTGAAGCTTTAGTCATGCAGGCAAACAAAATTTATTTAAAAATTATCTCGAATCTCATAATATGGGTAATTAGATTCGTTGCCTCGAAGCTGTGTACACGATTTTTCATAAAGATTTGATTACTTTTTTATTTACGAAAACAAGTCGTTCCTGAATATTTTAATTGAGCAATCAGATGCTGCGAAAATTATTGTTATAATCCTCGTCGTTTATTTACAGTTCATTCCAAAATCAAGTATCAATCGACTGCCGTTCAGTGTGTGAGTGACAAGCTCTAGAATTTGCATTTTTCTTTGGAATTTATAAAAATCACACGAAGAAGAATTTAGAGTTTACCCTAAAATTCAATCAAGATGCAGTCATCAAAGCAAATGGGAAGTTTTATTGATTGAACTTATTTCTTCATTTCAAAGCTAGAAGAAATTGTCGATAAATAGCATTTAATAATCAATAAAAAAAATATTGCTATTAATTTGCAGTGCGTCACAACATAAACTCTCACTTATGATCATTTTTATAGATATACTTAAGAGATCTGCTGAGAATCAGCTAAATAAAACTCGATCGAATAATTGCAGTCGAGGAAAACAATTTAATTTCCTTTCTAAGAATTAAAATTGTGCACATGGATATACTAATAGTCAGAAGAAATTCTACATTATAATTAGCAATAGCGAAACAGGTTCATCCGTTCACTGCTTGCCGCAGCGTTTAGATCTTTAGTTTTTGTCGTGCTTTTTTTTCGTAAAACAAAATTCTTTTCTATTTTTCTCTTTCTACACACCAAGTCAGACGACCGAAGACGACGACAGTCACAAAATTGTATTAAATGGAAAATTTATTCTGTTTAAGTCGTCGATGTTAACAACATTTTGCTGTTGCAAGAAGAAGCATTAAATCGTAGCCTTTTTTCTGTGCTACCTCTAATGAAAACGAATTACAGAATAATTGAACAGCTCAAAGAACGATTGAATCACTTGAACTTGGACTTCTTTTCATAAAATTCATTCTTCATCTCACTTCCTAATTATAGACGGGCAGTGTATATGCGTTGAGAATTAGATTTCGATAGAATCGGATCAATGACTTAATCCATTAGCTATCTTAAGAAGGAGAAGAAAGAACTAATTATGAGTCTAAAAAAAAGTTTATTCTTTATTTCGATCTTCATTTTTTGCTGCTTACTGCTTATGTTTCCCATAAGAAGATCATTAACCCCTCATCTTCTCCTGATCACGGGTGATTATTAAAATTCTTTTTATTAAAAGCACCATTCGCGAGGCAAATGTGTATTAATGCTCTCTTTGGATTATAGACTGATTAGATCGCACTTTATGAAGTTGCTTCAATATTCTTTTAGATCAAAATAATTAATAGCTTTCAAATGCGTCTAATCCACCTTCAATTATTAAGTTCCAATGCTCAGCGCAAATGCCGTTTTTTTCGATAATCATCAAGACGAATAAAAATGTAATAAACGAGTGCAGTAAAAGAATAAACAATCATGTTCTGTGTCTTACGTAAGAGATTTATGCACTTCCTTTCAATCGTCAATGTTATTTCATTTGTTTCATCGAAAGAAAATTGAATTGATGAATTTAATGCGACCTTCAGCATATTAATGACATTGAAATAAGTTGGTTTGGATAATTTACAACAGCATGAGAAAAAAAAAGGCAGAAAATAATAAAATTGAAATGTTTGTAAAGCACAGAAAGGCTTTTTATTTGCTTTACTTAAATGAGCTTGAGCTACTGGCTTAAATATGAATCCCAGTGTTTTTTGTGTATATTTTTCTAAAACGTGAGAACTCCTACATGTTATGACTAGTTTGCGCAATTGACAGCAGTGTTGAAATGACAGACGTCTTCCATAGACAAAGACTACAGAATCTTTAAAAGATTTTATCTTTATGAAGAATTTATCTTCTACAGATTTCTGTCTGCATGTAGATTAAAAAAAGTGTCTACATGCAGAATCTGTCTTCCAAAGAATTCTGTCTTCCACAGATTTCTGTCTGCATGTAGATCAAAAAAAGTGTCTACATGCAGAATCTGTCTTCCAAAGATTTCTGTCTTCCACAGGGTTTGTCTGCATGCAGATTATTATATTTTAATGAAAAAGTGTGGTTTTACAATAAATTAACAATAATAAGTACTTTTAACGGTCAAATAATTTTCAAATTTTCCCGATTACCTCGAAATGCAAATATTTTCTTACAATTTGTAGGTAACGGTTTACAGAGTTCGTAAAAATGTACGAATTGGACTGACAGAGAAGCTTAATTTTAATCAAATATAAAACACTAATTCAAAATATTTTTTTCTTTTCATGAATCTGATGACAAATGTGGCGAATGGTGATTTTGTGAATGTGGATAAATTGTGTGTATGTTACTGAAAATATCCATTTTTAGTGCATTTTTGAAACTTATTTCAAAAAGGTAGCTTATTGATTGAAATAGAAGCAACCAGACATCGTAGCCTTCTACGTTTTCTCAGTTCTATCGTTTTATTGGCGTATCGAATACTTAATAAAAAGCGTAACTCAGTGTATTTATGCTATTATTAAGCATTTTTCTGACAACGAGAAAATCTAAATGAAAAACCCTTTTTATTAATTTTAAAAGCCCGTAAATGTTTGATCATTTTTTTATAAAAGAGACTTGTCAGAGGAAGTGAAGAAGAATCCACATTAATTTGCAAAATTAATTTCGTTGTTTTATTTTGTATCCTAAATCTTTCTATGTGTTTTTGATTTAAAAATATTTATTAAATATCAAAATATAATAATCTGCATGCAGACAAACCCTGTGGAAGACAGAAATCTTTGGAAGACAGATTCTGCATGTAGACACTTTTTTTGATCTACATGCAGACAGAAATCTGTGGAAGACAGAATTCTTTGGAAGATAGATTCTTCATGTAGATACTTTTTTTAATCTACATGCAGACAGAAATCTGCAGAAGATAAATTCTTCATATAGAAAGTGTCTTTTTGCAGAAGTATAGGCAGATTTCAACACTGATTGACAGTAATTAATTATTTCTTTAAATGCTTTTGTTGATTTTTTTTATGACAGAAGTATTTTTCTCACATATGATGGATGGGTTTTAGGATGAAGATGCTGGCTGTATGATGTATGGAATTTAAAAGCTTAAGAATGGAAATGAATATCTTCAAAAGTAGTGGCTGAGAAGTTTAAAAAGATTTATTTCTGGTAAAGAAGCAATTTAGCAGGTCAAGATTAATTGTAGCTACAGTTTTCACTCACTTTACATAAATTCACTTTTAATGTCCTAAATTCTCTTTCTTTAAAATGTCCACTTAAAATTCACTTTTTTTTTACTTTTCTTTCACTTCAAAAATTAACATTTTAAAATCATTTATTTGCTCTTGAAGTCAGTCATTCAGTTGTATTAAAGAAAACTTTTTCCTTCATCTGACTCACTCTCGTAGATGATTCTTCTACTTATCTTTCTTCTATGTTTAACAAAATAATTGAAAATTTTTTTCTTTACTATTTATTTTCTTGCTTTATGTCTATTACTTCTTCTATTTAAGCTTGCTTATGCTTGTTTTATTTTCCTCGAGACGTCTACTCAAGTCGAAATCCACGGTAAGACTGTCGAGACATCCGAGAGTTTCTTTCCATTAAGTCGACAACGTAAGAAAGGTAAGAATGAGAGATATTGAAATAATGTTGCTGATTGAATTTTTCTCATGATATACTTATATTCATTTTCTTTTCTTCTGCCTGCGCCACTCTCTTCTTGTTTGAATCTTTCTTTTACTATTTCGCACATCTTGAATGAATCTTATGAATCAATTTTTCTTTTTATTCCTTTTCATTCTTCGTGCACTTTTTAATTTTAATTTAATTTCTTTCTTCATTATCGTTGCCGGTGTTCATTATTCTTATTATTATTTTGAGAATCCAGGAAATTACTACGTCAAGATACAAGGCCAAGTGCAATAAAAATGTTCAAACCTTCAAGAGTGAAAAATATGTGTCCTTCCCATCAACATTCTGTTGATTCAATGTCTAGAGTAATGAAAATTTCTGCTTGATTAAATGCACGCCCTTCTATCTGACCAAATTTCATCCCACAATTGTCATCAATGCCGCTGACTACAAGGGGGTCGTTCACTTATTACGTTACGCAAAAAAACGACTTTTTTCACCCCCCCCCCCCTCCCCCCTTGTTACAATATGTTACAACTCACAACCCCCCCCCCCCCCCCTTGAACGTTCATAATTTATTTTATCATTAAAAAGGTGGAACATTTAAAAAAATGTTTTTGGTGTGAATTTTCGTGAACTTTTTTTTAAAAGACAGGCGACAGTTTTAACGTTACATACTTCTTGACACCCCCCCCCCCCCCTTATGTTACAGTTTGTTACAAATTTTCAAACCCCCCTCCCCCCTAAAATGCGAACGTAATAAGTAAACGGCCCCAAGTGAAAATGTAATAATCGTAAGTAAGTCGGTAAGTAAGAAAAAAGTGTATATTAAAAGGTCCGAAACAATAAATAAGATCTTAACGGTATTAAATCATGTTCTGTTCGAGTTCTTTCCAATTTTTCTTATATTTCAATTTAATTTCAACTTTAGCACAAATATTCATTGACTGGATATTGCAGTGGAAGTCAAAATGTCTTCATGTGACTGTTAAAAATCGATTAACTTAGAATCTTAACTAGTCAGCTTTTCATGATAAAATAAAGACTTCATTTTCCAACAGAAGCTTTAATTCCATTTCACTGAACTTAATTATTTAAGAATCGTTCTAGCCATTAAAATCCACCTGTGATCGTAAAACTTGCCACTTCATTTCATGTACAATTTTGTACTTACTAACGATTTATATTCCGACAGCTTCTTTCTCTTTTTATTTCGCAATAAAATCATTTGTCTGAGTAAGTATATAAATCATACGAAATATTAAATACAGTATGAAGGATTGTAGTGCAGCTGCGTTAAGTGATAATACTTTACATCATTTCAAAATAAAATTTCTTTATGGCACCAACACTCATTTCCATGAATTTCTTCATCGATCGATAATATTTTATTGAATTTTATTGTAGCCGATTAATCTTCTATTTAAGGAATGTAAATATTAAGTTAGCCTTTATTTCGCACAATTCATCAATTAATTGCATTTTAGGTCAAGATTTATGGTGATGGTAGAAATTTGGTAAAAGATCTTTTATTTTAACAGCTCTATGTGGCATTCTACTTTCATTCTCTCTTCACCGACTTTAGTCATAAGCTTTCCTCAGAGTCATGAATCACAATTTAAATTAGCCACAAAAATTTCATTTTCTTCTCCTTTATTCGTTCTTTTAGTGCCATTTTTGGCGTGTAATCTCATCAGTTTTGATCACTTTGACTCTCAATGTCAATCAGCATGAGTAAAAGTTATAATGAGGGCTATATCCATCAAGATTGATTTATTGTTTATTTATTAGGTGGCTTAGCTTTCATTTAAGTATACGCAACTTTCATAAGAATCACAAACAGAATCTGCGCTCAAAAGCATTAGCCTGAAACTTGCTGATTTGCTTCCCTATCGTGTCAGATAAATAAATAGATACATCTGACTGTTTTGAGATGGAAATTAATTAGTTGTTATGTATATATACAGTTATTATCACACGTTCAGTGTAAGAATGAATGATTGATGGAAGTAAAGCATAAAAGAAATTGTGTGTGATGAATTATTCAATCTTATAACTTTTTTGTACCCTGTTTTTTCGTTATAAGCTAGTAGCTTAGAAGAATAAAAAAGTGATTTTTTTGGCTCACTAGTAGCTTAGTAACGAGTAGTAGCTTAGTAAAGAAATTGAACTTCAATGAAAATTTTGAATTTTTTAACTTAATTAAAGAAATTTTGCTATCTTCCCGATTTTATTTCATTGACAATGTCATAAGGTATTGAAACTGATACCTAAAAAGTTGAAAAAGATTAATTATACTTTATTTTTGGTAGTAGCTTAGTAAAGATTACAAAAAAATTTCAAGTTCAAAAAAACTTTACTAAGCTAGTAGCTTAGTAACGAGTAGTAGCTTATAACGAAAAAACAGGGTAGCTTTATTTTATTTATTCCTTCTCATCGTTTTCGTTCATTGATGTCGATGGAAGCTGTTGAAAGCGCAGTTGGATAATTTATGAATGTGTGACTTTATGTGATTTTTCCTATCTCTTGTCCATGTTCTTTGATACCTTTCCATTCTTTGCAATATTCCATTCACTGTCAATCTTTAATCTCTTGGATCTTTTTTTTTGTATTCTCATCTTTTATTTTTATGAATTTGATATTTCACATCATCATCATCAAAGATAGATGCACAAATAGATAGAGGGATCATGCACTTATTCCGTTTGCTTTTTTGGAAGAAGGTTTGGTCAAGAATCTGAATCAAATAAATGTTTAAAGATGGGTGAGAGAAGGTTGTAAAAAGTCGTACGTTACGTAATAAGTGAAAGACCCCAAGATAGATAGATAAATGGATGGATGGATGAATTGTTAAAAGGCTTGTAACACTTCTTTTCTATGTCAGTAATATCACGAGTTTCTTAGCACATTTCACACTCGACACACACAATTAACCACTTTTTTAACATTATAGATTGGATTGTTGAAAAGAATATGAGAATCTTGTTAGGAAGGCGAAATTGCTCACTTAAAAAGGCATTTAATATTAAATTAGCCGGATAAATTACATAAGTATCTTTACTACTCAAATCAGCTCAAAATAAATAGAACTAGAAATCCCTATTGTTTAGCTATAGCTTATTAAGAAAAATATGTGGATTAATGCTGTGTCTGTTGGAGGTTGCGTGTTTGCCAAAATTGCTGCCTAAACTCGAATGTCATGCTCAAAAATTCGGTTAACTTAATTCTTCCAAAATAAAAGAATTTGTCTTCATTAACAACCTTCAAGTTTATTTTTGAAGATATTAGTTCCCAAGAAATCTAGAAACATAAACTCAACGGCACTTAACATTCTTAAAACCATTCAATTATCCCAGTGATTAATAGAAAATAATCAAAGATGCAACAATAGCTTAATGACTCAAATCCCGTAAAATAAACTTCATTAAAGCTCTTGCAATCGATCATAATTCATAGCCGCTGTATTATGTTTTATGGGAAATCATAAATACATTTTATGGTCAATTAATTGACTATCAAATTAAAGAGTGGATCTTTCTCGAAAAATACAGCATTGACTAGCTCATCGGCAATAGAAGCAATAACTGTTTTCAAGTAACAGTATCACACTTAAGAATTTAAATTAATTTACGTACAAATTATGAAGAAGTTCTTAACAGAATACTTTTGTGCATCGTTTTTCCATTACTGTATGTCTTCTTTCTTACATTTCAACTTATCAGCATGTTGCATCATTTAAAACACGTGATAATTGAAAGTTATTGTACAAATATAACTGGAATATTACTTAACAAAGTCTAAAGATGGATGAATTCCATAGTGACTACTTTTCAATGCATATTCTGTTTGCAGTTTTAGTAAAGTTCTCATTAACTGCTCAACATCAACAATTTTGCAGGAATCGTCACTTAAAATGCTATATATTGACATACAGTATAAGTAAATTTCATAATGTCAATAAAGAATAAATGACGGTTCCTACCTGCGTATAATTAATTCAATTTTCAAGTTTCTATTGGTTCCTTTTATGCTCTCGTGCTGTTCTGTTCATGATTTTAACCGCTAATAAAAATATTCAAACTACGCATGCGCAATAGAGTTAACTCTTTTGGATGTTAATCTTTGTGTTTGGACTGGTTTGGACGAACAATTTTTAATTTTATTAAATTCTCATCGATTTCATTAAGAGAAATGAAAGCAAGTACTTCTATGGCAGGTAAAAATAGAAAGCATGTTGCGGTAAGTTCTGAAAATGACAAAAATGAGAAAGAAGAAGTAGAAAAGAAGAAAACAAAATTTGCACCAAAAGATTGGGAAATAATCTTTAAAAATATCAAGCAAATGAGATTAGAGCATAAATCACCAGTTGATACAATGGGATGTGAACAATGTGCTGATAAAAAGGCTAGTCCTGCAAATCAGAGATTTCAAACATTAGTTGCTCTTATGTTATCAGCACAAACAAGAGATGAAGTGACTTTTGCAGCATGTCAACGTTTAAAGTAAACATCCTTTGACTTAAAATAATTAAGTTGATTTATTGACAATATAAAATTTTACAGAGAGTATGGATTTACACCGGAAAGTATTGCAAATGCTGACCAAAATGAGCTAGAGGAACTGCTCAAACCTGTTGGATTTTATCGTACTAAAGCTAAGCATATTAAACTGACATCACAAATTCTTATTGACCAATATAACTCAGACGTACCTAATGACTTAAAGGAACTTTTAAAACTACCTGGAATCGGCAAGAAAATGGCAAATATAGCACTATCAAGTTGCTGGAATAATATCGTTGGAATTGGTGTAGATGTTCATGTTCATCGAATTGCTAATCGCTTGAATTGGGTCAATACTAAAACTCCTGAAAAGACACAGGATGAATTGGAGAGTTGGCTCCCTCGAAATTATTGGAAGGAAGTAAATTTGATGCTGGTTGGATTTGGACAATCTGTTTGTACCCCTAAAAATCCAAAATGCGGTGAATGCTTAAACAACAAGATTTGTCCTTCTGCATTTAAGGAAGAACAGGAAAAGAAGAATAAGAAGAATACAAAAACATAGTGTGTAATAATTAAAATTCCTTGTAGTTTTATTTCTCTGCCATGCATTGATAAAAGATTTAAATGAGTTATTGAATGATGAAATTTGGGAACAATTTTAAGGATATAATTTCATCATCGTCTTCGCTCCCCTTTTACAGCTGATGCTTTTCTATTAGCCTTCTTTTCATCACGATTAGCTTTCTGTTTAGCTCTATCCTCTTTATCCTTTAACTTCTTTTGTGCCGAGTCAGCTCTTGCCTGTTCACGTTTTTCTTTTGCTAATTTTTGAACGTCTGACTTATTGGTATTTTTCTCCAAATCTGGATCAACTTCATGTACATCTTCTACTTCCTCATCATCTAAGTTTTCGTCTTTAAATTCAGTTTGTGAGTAGTTTGCAAGGATTTGTTCTTTAATGCGCCTCTGTTCTTCAGACAATTGCTGCTTTTGATAGTTTGAAGATTGTTGTGACAACTTTGCTTGCGTTTCGAGCATTTTAGCTATGTCAACTTCTTCCTGCTTCTTGACTTCCTTTGGTTTTGGAATTCCATATGCTTCGGTCCATTTTTCAAATATTTCATTTACAAACTTTTCAGTATCAGATTCCTGTTAAATTCGGTTATAACTTACTTAGAATTACAAAACGTGAAGAAATTTATTTGAACTTACAATCAAGGAACTGATTATATCAGTCAACGTTTCTCTTTTCTCGTCATCATCTATACTATCTTCAAGTACACCAGTAATATAACTTAAATACACGCCGACATCAATTTTTAATTCCTTTAAACGAGTTTTTAACCAATTCTCAAACATTTTTTATTATTTTTCTCTTCCCTCTGAAATTTTCTATCAAAAAAGTTCTATAAAATGCACGCTTTTAGTTGTGATTTCTTGATTTTTTTACAACTCAATCTCGTTGGTCACGTGTTCAAATGTTTTTGAAAATTCAAATTCAACGTTGACAAGAAATTTGAAATTTATGCTCAAATATTTTTTTTGTTTTTCAAGTTTTAATTTTTTAAAATTTCAGTAATTCTCAAGAGTAATAGCTGATTTCTGATGCAAGATGTTGTAAAATAAAAAGTCAACTGTTTGAAGATCATCAAAAACTGTCGGAGAATCAATTAAAACAATGGAAAACTTAAAATTTAAGAAACTATCAACAAAAGCGTGAGAAATGTAAACATTTGTAAAGACGGCTGAAAAGTTGTGAATGAAAAATTCAAATTTTATGTTTCGGTTATTATTCAACTGATTCTTTAGTTCGATTTCGAATTTTACTTTCATAGATTCGTAACCGATTTTTTTTCTGCATTTTGTAGTTATTCGTTATATGCTTTTTATTTTTCGATCCCTGCTGCACTTTTATCTTTCTCCCGTCAAGTTCCTTTCCATCGAATTTCAAGCCATTCTATGATAAAAAAAAAATATTAATTAAGTATTGACATCAGAAATGAACAAATCATTTACCTTATATCCCTCAAATTCAATCATCTCCACAAATGCAAAGCGACTTAGACGTTTTTTCGGTATTCGGACCGATTTTAATGGTCCACAATCAGCAAAGAAAGCTTCTAACATTGTTTTTGTAGTTTCTGATGATAAATTAGACACGTAAAGGATGAATCTATTATTGGTTCTGACTGGTTCCTCTTCAACAACTTTCAGTTGCTTCCTTTTATCAAAAGGCTGTTCTGGAACCTTCTGTTTCTTATTATTTTCAGTTGGTAACTCCGTTGGAATTTCTTTTCTCTTCTTTTCATTAGGTAACTCTTTAGGTAACACACATTGGCTATCTTGTTTAATTTGTTCCTTAATATCATCAATTACTTCCTCTTCAGATTCCTCGTTATCGCTTTTCTCTGAATTATTTGATTCCTTTTCTTCTGAGAGGTAGTTATCGTCATTTTCATAAGTAGATCGCTTCGCTGTTGGCTTAATGTATGACTCTACATTATAATCAGAGTCTGAATCGCTCATTTTAATTAACTAGCAGTGCTGATTATTATAGTTGATGAATGTAAACAAACTCACGTGTAAATGGAATGGATTAGATTGATCAGTAAATTTCTCATGGATGTGATGTTGTGAAGACGGCTTGAGTGTTTTGAAATTTTCACTTGAAACTTATTCGTAAAAACTATATTTTATAAATTTAATACATTAACTTAGTTTCTATTTGTTAAAAATGATTACATCGCCTGTACAGCATCTTGTAAGTTGATTATATCATAAGCAATAATTTGAAAATTTAAGGATTACATCGATTTGTGAAAAAAATAAAACGCTTGGAAAGTTCGATATTTTGTCTTGTTCTAATTATTTCTGTCTCATTCACTCTTATTAATAGGACGAAAATGACGATGAAGACTTGGATATGCTACGAAAAATTGCTATGGAATCACTGAAAAGAGGTCGTGAAAATGAATTTCCACAAGAACATCAGTTTCAAAATGTACAGCCAGTTTTTCCAAATCAACAAGATATAATTCCTTACGAGAATAATGAAGTGCCGTTTCAAAATGGTCCATTTCCAACATTAACAAGACCACACAGAATGCCAGGAAATCCTCATTTTATGCGTCCTCGATTCAATAATTTTGGTCCAAGACATCCAATTAGACCATTCATGCAACGTGGAATGCCTCATCGTTTTCCACCACAGCCTATAATTCCGGATTTTGTGCCTATACCACATGTAAATCCACAGTTTTTGAATCAACAACCACCACAGCCACAAATATTTCCACCAGTAATAAATGAATTTCCATTGGATTATGTTCCAACGCCTGTAGTTCGCTTATCGCCACGAAGTGCTGAGTAAGTTGATAATAAAATTACAAAAACAAAAATGTATATAACAATAAAACTCATTATTTCCTTCACATAGATTTATTGCTGCAAATGAACAAGCCATGAAAAAAGCTAGTTCAAAAAGATATTCTAGGTCACCCCCACCAAGACGCAGGCGCTCACGTTCTGGATCTCCAATTCGTCGAAGATCACGTACAAGAAGTCCATATAAGCGACGTTCACCAAATGAAAATATGAGTCGTAAAAGATACAGATCTAAATCTCCAGAAAATCGATTATTTAAGAGTCGAAACAATTCACCAAAAGTTGATAAAAGATCCAAAAGTCCTCAAAATCGGTCACAATCACCGAGAAATGCTAGATTTGCACGCAGAGGAAGAGATAACAATAGATTTAATAATGGAAGTAATGGAAATGGCAGATATAATCGTAAGAAAAGTGAAAGCGATAAAGAGGATGAAAAGCCTGAACAGAATCTTTCACAATCAAAGCCCAAAGATGAGTCTATTAAAGTCAAGGAAGTTGATTCAAAAGAAAAGATTGATGTGAAAAAGGAAGTGAAAATTACAAAAACAAAGTCATTGACTCCAGCACCAGAAGAAAAATCTACAACGCCACCACTTTTGCCTACAAAAAAGGAAAAAACTGAACAAGAATTGGAAGATGAGCTGCTTGCGTCCACAGATGAGGAAGATGGAGATCAATTGGATATAAACATGGATGATAATGAGCTGGATTTTCTCAATGATGATAGTGAGTCTGAAAATGAAGGTAGATTTAAAAGCAAACCAAGTGCGAATGTTAAATCATCATCAACTATACCAAGTAGGCACAATTTTGGCAACTCAAGAGCTTATGACAGAGGCAAATATTCATCATCTCGACACGATTATAAACGTGACGATAAATACAGCCATTCAAGACGAAGAGATCATGCAAATCGTAGAAATACACCCGATTTGGACTCACGTAGAAAGTCACCAACAGACCGAAAGCCAATTGTTTCAAATAAGGACAAAGATGATGTAAAAAGTAGCACCGAGTCAGAGAGAAAGCCAATGTTTAAGTCGACATTCAAGTCTATTGACTCCGCAGAAAAGAAAGCAGGTGTGCATTTTTAATGTCCCTTAAATTGTGTGCTAGTTTTGACAGTTATTTTTAAAAAAAAATCATAATTTTCAACCGTTATTTCTCAAATATATTTCGACCGTTATTTTCTTAAAACCAAAAAACTTCTCAACTAAACAAAATTGACTGACATTTCTCCCACTTTTATCTAGAATCTACAGCAACAAAAAAGAGTGATTCGCGTCCTGCCTTAGTTCGAAGCTATGTGAATAAACCAGATGTAGTAGTCGGTAAGTTATCATCAAAATAAAGCCAAGATCGAACAGAATTACTAAAAGTTCACGAACATAACAGAGAAGTCATCGGTGAAGTCAGTAATAACACTAAGCGAGGAATCGTCATCAAAGACTGGTAAACGGAAGATAATGGAGCGTCTCGGGGAGTTTGTTGGAGCGAAAGGAAAAAATGACGGTAACAGATCTCGAGCATCGAAACAGGTATCAATCAATCACAGATTTGCTAATATTGAAAATTTCATTGTTCCTCTAGTCTTATTGAAAGGTCAAAGAATCCTATCAGGAATTAATAATTTTTGGAATGTGCCTCTAATATCTTTCTGTCACTCAATTAGCTCATTGACGATTTTTAATTGGGGATGATAAGTTCCATCAAAATAGCTTTAATTCCTGATAATAAACATAATTGCTGTTCTGGTATTTATTTGATATTCTACTGAATTAAATCGCAGCTTATGAACTGGATATAATAGAAAGATATTAGACTCGACATCCTTAATGCAATGGAAAATTATTACATTCCAAAAATTCAATAGATTGTAGTTTTTAAGGCTTCATGACTGATTTATTTTGAAATAGTAATTAAATAACCAATAATATTCTACTATAATTAATTAATTATGATTGGAAATGAAAAAAAAGAAAAAGAAAATAGTTCAATGAAGTAATTGTCTCAAATCTCTTGAATTAAAGGTAGATGAACGTCGCAAGGTAATATACAGGATGAAAAGTACTGTGCAAGTAAAAAGTGTGGCTTCAAGAAATTCCTACGTCTCAACATAATTATTGCATTTTCAAGAACTGCTTCACACCTTTTATTTTTCTTAATAATTCCATTTTCTTAGAGCTTATAGCTTAATTATTATTATATAAAATTTTCCTCAATTGTCTAGATTAGGATTCTCGAGAGTCGTTCAAGATTCTCTTCTTGATTGTCCCCCGACTAGTTTTGAAGGAATTGAATTTATTTGTCAAATTTCTGAAATAATTCGACAGCATTTATGAATTTTTATTGACCTTATTAAATACTAAAGAATATGATTGATATTATTATTATACAATTATGTTATTGTATATATATGCACACACATTAAAGAGATCCTTACTACTTAAAAAAGAAGAAATTACTCATGTACACTAAAGTATAAAGATGTAAAGAGATAAAGATATAAAGTGTAATGTACAATAATTATCAACTTGTGACTGAAGAAATTCTTTTCATAATTGTAACAAAAAAGACACACTCTTAATGTTTGTAATCATTTGCTTTATCATTTTCTCTCTCAACTGTGATATTTTTTAATGTTTAGACGATGCATAAATGCTCATATTGAGCTTACCTCATTTTCCTTCATGTTCAATGTTTTTGTTCTCGTGTTTAAACTTTAAAGAATGAGAAAATACACAAAAAATTTTATCATTATTATTTATACAAACTATTTTTGTCACTTTAATAAATGTCAGACAATTTGCTAGTCTCTAGATAAAGCTGCTTCAATTGATTATTTTTTTTTAATTGTTATTAAAGAGAAAATTGCATAAAACTGAATAGAAAACAATAATGAAAATGGACAATTATAGTTATCGCAAAGTTGTTTAAACAGAAAAAAACTTTATTTGGCTTCATGCTGCGGTCGATGGAACTGAGAATTTAACGGTGTTATTTTGAATTTTTGCGTCAGTTTTTGCATCACTAATTTGAATTTTTACCGAATATTTTTGAACCTTAAATTGTACGAGATCTCAAATTCTGTTGACCAATGCATGCATTTTAAAACGAAAAACTGTGATAAATTTTCTACAAGAAGCATAATCAAAATTGTAGTTTGTAAGAGAAATTGTAGATTAAAACTTTAGTTTGTAAGAAAAACACACACAAAAAAAAGTCATCATAATTAGGTTTAAGTACAAAAGTCGTCCCCAAATCGAATCCACGATGATAGGGATAAGTGACAAATGGATATAATTCAATTTACAACAATGATTTTCTTTCTCGTGATTCATTCAGGTGTAGAAAAAATGAAAAAGCCACATTATAAAAAATATAGCGCTAAGAAAAACTGATCAAAAAATCATTTAAAATAACAATACATCATTGAGCATGCATTCACGAACATCACGAATATGTTCAACAAATTTTGCTGAGAACACCTGAAGAACTTTAAGGATTATGTACGTGGACGAGGTCTAAGGAATCAACAATCATCAATCATTGGTATGGAGAAGGAAATTATAAAATTTTCATTAATTCCTTTAATCACATTCTCGATGTATTGCTTCAATTTGAATTGAGAAAAAAATTAAATAAATTGTATATAAAAAATTATTTTGAAACTTAACTGTCATTTAAATTTTGAATTTTCGCATCTTTTTCAGAATCATAATTTTCAAATTTTTGTCGACCGTTAAGTATTTAAATTTAAGTTTTCAACAAATAATTACTTAAATTGAGGATATTTAAAAGTTTAAAATAGTCCAAGATTGATATCAGCTATCAATAAATCACAACCTTTCATTTTATTTAAATATTTCAATTTCCTGAGCATTTACCAATCGATTATATTCAGCATCCGTATTTTTTTTTTCAATTTCCATACATGAATAAATCTATACGTACAGTACGGGCAAATATAAATTTAATGTAGGTACGAAAAGGCAATTTTTTGTATAGTGAAGTGTCTGAAATATCACTGCGTTTTCATTTTTAATATACACTAAAGAGTTGAGGAATGAAACTTCATTATTATTATTATATCGGAATATTATCATGATGAATATTTAATTCCCAATAAATTTCATTATTTCTCATTTATTAAATTAAATATAAATGCACCAAATAAATTGACATTGACTCGATTGGTTTTCTCTCCTGCTTTTGTTGTTTTTTTGCTGCTTTGTTGAAATCAATTCATTTCTTGTTTGAAATATTTTCGTGCTATTTACTATGTACATACAATGAAAAATGACAATATTTGTTGAAAAAAAATCTAGCGAAATTGTGCTGTGCTCTTGTGCAAATATCAATCCAAATTTCTAACATCCAAGTTATTGCAGGTCTTAATTCAAAAAATATTGTTAATTTTGGACATCATAAATAAGCTTTAAGCTGATATATCTTTAAAAATCAGACCAAGACATGACACACTTTCCCATAATTTTTCAATTTCAATCCTCGAATGAAACAATTTAAAACAAATCGCTATTTGTTCTTTATTGAATTTAAAGACATCAAAAACTCATCTTTAAGGATTACCAATAAAAATGACAACAATATCCTAACACCGCAACACTCTATCAAAAAAAAATCATATTAAAATCGACTAACACGATGCAGGATGCATAAAGCATCAATATGAGATGAATATTATTTGATATTGCACATTGAAAATCACAACTGTATATTTAGTATAGAATTTACCGAAAAATATGATGAATCTTGTTTTATAAAGAATTTTTATGCTTTTAGAAAAAGTAGTAAAGTCATTGATGGATGTCAGGAACATTTTTATGTGCATTTTGAGCTATTTTAGTTTTAACGAACTTTTAAAATTTTAAATTTAGAACTTTACAAATGTTCAAAAAAATTGTATGGTCCTCAGAAAAATTTGAAAGGTTTTCAATAAAAATTCAAAATTATTTTTAACCGCCATTAGTCAAAATTGGCACCAAAGATTCTCATTTTCAACATTCTGCTCCTAAATATGCCAAAAATAAAATGGATATTTTATATTAAAAATGATACACATCTTTGTATCTAATCTCGATCATCATTCTGTGTCATTTTCACTAGCTGTGTATGAGAATATGAATTGGATGCATTTCTATGTGCTTTCATGTTTATTTGATGTATTATATTAAAATATTTTTAATAAAAAATTTAGCTATTTAATTTAAAAATTTGATTTGAGGCGTTTTAAAGATTTTCGGGAACTGAAAAATATTTTCAGCAGCATCATTATCAAAGCATCCAAAAGTTAAAAGACAATAGCTTTTTAAGCAATTAAGTCGATTGTTCAGCTATAAACTCAATAGCACAAGCTGTCTGATTTTTGACCACAAAATCAAATACAAAAGCCGAATATTTATTTCTAACCTTTCATAGCAGTAGCCAGACAAGTCAACAAAAGCTCTTCAGCAACAAATAAAACTTGACACCTCTCAGACTCAAAATCGAAGCTTTTTATTATCACATTTCTATGAATTTAACTCTTTTTTCGTGTGTGGAAATAAAAAGAAATCCTTTACCTTTATTTCCATCTAACACAGAATTGATAAAATCCATCCTAATCGTCATGACAAGAAGAAGCAATTGAGATAAAAATATTTATTTTGAGAATAATAAAAATCCAAGACAATAATAGAAAATTGTGACATCATCCGATAGATAGTTGTGAATCTATAAAAAAAAATCATTTTACGTTTCTGAATGTCTCACATGTCTGTTGTCGATGGCATCGCACTTCAAATTTATACGTACAATTTGAGTGTGTGTTAAAGTGAAAATTTGTGAAAATTGTTCAATAAATGTCATTCAGATGAGCACGAATATCTTTTAGGAATTTTCTCGTGATATTTTTTTTAGCTTTAAAGGATGCAAAGAAACAAGGAGGTGACAAAAAGAAGAATTTAATTGCAAAATTTAACGGATTTTCAAATTTTTAAAAGCAATCTTAATTCAAAAATCGCTAAAATTTGAAGTTTCAAAAACCGTTGAAACTTGAATTATTAAAAACCGTTAAAATGTTTGACCAATTTAGACAAAGTGTCGAAAATTCCAAGCAGCTTTCAAAAGACTCAAAACAAACAAAATCCATAAAGGTCGTCTATTCGATAAAATTTGCGAATCCGTTCCGAAAATATAATCGTAAATTTTCATTCATTAAGCCATTTACGTTGCATACAAAATGCTTGATGCTAAACCAACTTGAAAATGTAAGAGCGGCATGCGACAAAATTCCCTTCAAGTATTTACAAAACTTTCCCTTTCATCTGCATGCTACTGTTATGGAATTTACAGTGCCAATAAAGAATTTTTTTTTTCGCTCTTCTTCCATTTTCAAAAACGTGAGTGAGTGTGAGAACACGACAAGTAACAAATAACAACTTTACACTTAAAGCCATAAATCCTTCATTTATGTGCCGCAGTTTTAGTGTGTGCTGACATTTCACCTCATTTCTCATTCCTTGTGTCTCTTGTAGAATGTCAAAAAAAAATTTACATGCACAACATAGCTCCGAGAAGCATAATTCAAAGGATATACATGATTATGATTTATAACAGTTTTCAAACATTTGAAAATTTAACGGTTTTTGAAAATTTGAATTTTTGATGTTTTTCAAAAATTTAAATTTTAATTTACCGGATTTTTAATAGAATAGAAACTCGGTACAAAACCAAAGGAACAAGAACAAAACTTTGATGTAGGAGTGCAGAAAAAAAGTGAAATAAATAAAATACAATTTTATGTTTCATAAAGTAATAAGATTCATAACAAACAAACATACAATGGTGCTCTTGTGCGCGCGTCTCTTGGGTGTCATAATTTTTCTGTGTGCTGTTAACAGATATCTCTAATTATGTGAATCACATACTCATTCCTCGAATCATTCGTTCATGTATTTAAAGTAAGTTGAGTAAAGTAAAAAAAATTCAAGGAAAAAGAATTTTTATTAACATAATAATGTTAACCAGAAAAGCCACAGTTAGTCAGTTTGTAGAGTATTGTTCATTTTTTGTGTTTCTTTCTCCCCAGCACACTCAATTTTCTTCATTTGTTCGTTTACAGTGAATAAAACCCATTCAATCTCAAATGGAGCTATAAAATTATTTCTGGGTCCTTTTTGCATGCTTTCTCATTTTGTTTAATTTGATGCTTGTCAATTCATTTTGATTGACTAGCTGTCTGTCATTTAAGGATTAAAATTTGTTTGAAAAGCCGTTAAATTTGAAAATTCAGAGACGTTTTATGATATTTTGAATTTTGAAAAATCGTTCATTTTTAAAATTTTATAAATCCTTTAAAAATTGTCAAAAAATAAGAAGTTTTTAAAATCAAAGTTTTATGATAAAATGCGTTTGTGACTATAATTTGACAGATTAACCCTGACCTTCAAACTATGTTTTCATCTCTTCCGGTTTGTACAATCTATGTTACTTCTTCATTTGTTTAATTTTTGCTTCCTTCCATCTGCTAACAGAACAGAGCCGCAGGAAATATTAAGAAAGATTTTCCCAGATTTTCCTTTCAACTGAGACGAGAAAAAAAAAGTTTCACTATCCACTCATCCCACCTCAACATCCTCTCCCCTAATAATCCCCTGAACATCATGCAGTAATTAATTTTTGTTAAAGGGTTACGACACATTTCACATTTGTTGAAAGTGAGAACGAGTTACATGTATATCCACATGAAGTAGCATCACATTCACACCAACAACACAAAAGAAGTAAAAATGAAAAATATGTTTCATCATCATATTATGTAAAGACTTTTTATTTTAATTTTCATATGCCATGTTCCTTCATTTATGCTGTAAACCGACAATTTTCTTTATCCACTTCCTCTTTTTTATTATCATACTTCATTTGATGGCTATAGACAAAAGTTTTACAGAATTGAAAATAAAATGGTTTTATGTTGAAGATTGCTGATGGGAAAATTAAGGATAATTGAGAGCTGTTGTGCCTTAAATTAAAAAGATTTTAGACTTTGATTTGGTTTTTGGATAGAGCGTCACATAGCTCATCCTCATTTTGAGAATTGGACGTAATTTTTGAATATTCTCGATCTGCTGTTCTAGACGCAACTAACAAGATGTTGAAACATCCAAACATACTAAAAGTATTCAGGTCACGAAAGGTGACAAACAGTGGATTAGAATCACACAAGATTAAGCTTCAACAGCAGAAGGAAAAAAGAGTCATCATGTGATGGAAATTTTAATATTCGTCGCTTACTTCAGAAGAGATTATGTGGCAGGGAAAAAAGGATCAGGATATTCAAACTAATTAACGAGTGGTTCCGAACTTTATTTTTCTTCCTATTCTGTCTTTTGTTATGTTGAAGATTGAGTTCTGATGTGGCTTGATATCAAAAAAGTTTGAAACTTTCCCAAAAGATATATGTAATTATGAACTGTATGAGTAAAGGATTAATGACTTCACCCTCAACTTTCGATTTTATTGCTTTTTAATTTAATTATGTAATTTTGTTGTTAAAACTGAGAATTATTAAGTGAGGAAGTTGAAAAATTGAAAGACTCAAGCAATTTCATGTTAATCAGCAACATCCAGCTAGTAACTATAGAGATTATGTAAGAACAATCACTCAAAAACCTTCAATTTAAATTTAATTTGTAAAATTCAAAATTAAATTCAACAATTTAATTTTAATTCTAAGATTAAGCTCTGTTCAACATGATTCATTTCCAAGGCTTAGTTGAAAAGTTCAATGCCTCAAAAAGACTTCAATTCAACACATTTTCTACAAAATTTATAAAGTCATACATCTTATGCTCATCATCAAACAAATTGCGCTGAAAGAATTAATCCATTTGTTCTGATTCTCATTGTCTCATGCAGTACTACAGTTCCTTTACAACTTTAAGTAATAAGACATAAATAAAGATGATAATTAAAGAAACAAAAGTCTTCTTTTCACTTTAATGTGCGCATAATTTAGATAATGAAAAACCTTAATATAAACATGTGAAGACATTCATACGAGCTAATGGCTTGAATTTATTACAATATTTTCATTGTGATAATTTGTTAAATTTTTTAATGACATCTTCTGTTTCTTCTGAATACCGTAAAAATTCTTTATTCTACCTTACATTCTTGTTTACCACATTTGGAATCATAATTTATTTTGAAAGTAAAAAAGTTTCCATCTTTAATGCTAATGTGGATGAAGAAATATTTTTGTTCTCCTCCTTAAAGTGCATTCCCGTGCATGCAATGATTTTGTGTAGCAATTTCCTTAGAAAAATGATTTTTGAGATCAGTTTGACTGAGATTTGTGGACAGTCGAACATAAAATTACAAAAAATCAATCTCATAATTAAAGATTCACAAAAACGATTATATCCATAAACAGCCATAAACCTAAACAACGTTTGAGCATCATCAATGCAGCATTTTAACCCAAACTATGTTCTCACTTTTCAATATGAATTCCTCGGTATGAAAAAAAAAAATACTTTGAAAATAGAAAAACTTTTCTCTTCGCTTTTCCATCCACAAAAAAGAATTTATGAAGTTCGTGCCAGAAAGAACCAACAAATTGTGAGCTATACAAAAAAAAACTATTATTTTTGCTGATAATTCATAAAATGATGAATCGATGGTGTCTTAAAAAACAGCACATTAATGGAAGAAGTCAGAAACCAGAAAAGCTGCACAATGAAGCTTGATCTTGTTAAATGCCACAAAACACTTCGGTCGGGGTCCTTGATTTGACAATTTAAATCTCAATAATACGTAAAATAAAATCCATTGAATGGTAGCCGTCAAGCGATTATTGTGCCATTAAACAATCGAATTCGCGTGCCACATAGCACTTACTTTGATTAATTATGTTTAATTGAACGATTCATTGAACCTGAAAATCGTCGATACATGAATGAAAACGAAAGTGACATCACAATGAGAATTTATACTGCACATTCGTACACATTGTGTGTGTGTGTATTTGTGTATGCGTCGCCCGAAAAAAACTGGATTTTCAAACGATCAACAAATAAATATTTTTTTTGCCGACCTTCAAACAAGTTCGAACTCATTTTTCGGTTATGTTAATCAAAACTGTTGCTGTTGCTGCTAATGTTCATCAGTTTGATCACTTCTGTTTTGTCTGTTGAGGTGTTCAGTAGCAGAAAAAGCAGCGACAGAGAAATATCATTATAAAATGTGGAAGGTTTCAGTGTTTATCACATTGTGTTGTCTATTTATTGGTACTGCACATGCAGGTAAGCAATGCAAAAGCACAAATGTGTACAACTTCCTGTTGCGAAACTGTGTTGGAAAATTAAAGCATATTGTTGTGAAAATATAAGATTCTGTTAAATTTAAAGTGATTCTGACGTTATGGATGCTCTGGATGTGATTAAAGAGCTTCTATTAAAGCTTTTTTTATAGAAAGTATCCAATTGTGAATTTTAAATTAAAGATGATGTTCATTGTCACTTGAAGTTCTGTCAAAATATGTTTATAAGTGCTTGACATGATTAATGGGAAACAACAAAACTATCTTTAAGACATGATTATTGCAAAAAAAAAGTTAAGTTGAGTGCAATGAATCAGCGAAATTGAGTGGTAAAAAAGGCATTGAGGTTCAACAATAGAATGTATCATGTTGAAGCAATAATTAAGTCTCATTACGAAGCACAGTGGGCGAGAATGGCTATAAACTAGCGAAAATAAGGAAATTTACACACATTTTAATTTTGTTTGGGCAGTTCCTAGACAAATCTAATAGACACGTAGATATCACTGCTCAATTAAGATCACAATAAATTAAGTTTATAATGCGCAAAACTCAATGCAAATTTTTTTGAATCATACTTGACTCTATATCTATTTCTCACTTAAATATCCATAAATCTTATTCAACCTTGATCATAAATTTCTTACTACTTTACACATGTTTGTTTACTTGTTTTATCTATAAATTTATGCTTAATATAGGTCAAGAATAAACATCCCACGCGATTACTATTGCTTTTGCAAAAGAAGTAGTTCTATCAATCATAACTTATACCTAGCAACGTCTTACATAATCGGAAATTATTTTAATGATCTATAAAAATGTAAATCTATGAATTAATTACACGCATGTGTCACTAGACTTGATTTTATTATCAATATTCAAGTTTATAGCAAGCTTTGCGGCAGTTTACCGAGTCACTTTGACTAGATTGATAACCTGTTGTGAGGCAAAACTGTTTTGATGATCATTGTCTTGTTTATTGTTTAAATTTTGAGGTTGCAGTAGATAAACCGGGAAACCAGCAGCTTTTTCAAGTTCTTGCAGTATTAATGCCCATCTGCTTCTAATTGAAAAGTCAATCTGACTCACAAATGTCTCTTAATTATGGAAAAACCAGAAAGATTCTTAAAAAATTCGCCTTAGTCATTAGCATTCAAATCTTTTCCAACTAATTACTATAAAATATGAATCAATGCTTAAGAATTCACAACTGTGGTATTGAAAAAAACCGGTAATCATGTAAATCTCAAAGAAGTAATGTCAAATCCATTGGCTTGATTAATAAAATGTTAGATGGTTCAAAGACTAATCATTGTTGCAAATTTATGCGCGATGCTATCCAAAATAGTATGAAGACATTCCATGATGGTGACGATTTGATTAAAACTAGTTTCTTTGTTTTGCTTTCAGCATCAATCGATTGTAACATTGATGAGTGTAGGAAACCGATGAAAATTTATGAGGAGCTTGGATGTAAGCCGATTTATGGATCTAAATCATGCTGTCCAAAGAGATTCGAATGTCCTGACGACATGAAGGTTGTAAAGGATGAGAACAAATGCACATTTGAGGGCATCGACTATAAAATTGGAGAAGTTTTGCCACGGAATTCGACCACCGAATCAAAGTGTGTCGAAGCATGTATATGTTCAAGGTCCTTACATACTTCAATTCATACAACAATTGCTTAATTAATCTTAAAATTATTACAGATATGAAGAGGAACCAGCCAAGTTTTTATGTACAAATAGTGATTGTGGCATTTCTAGCTTTAAAGTGCCGGGCTGTATAAACATTTATGGCGATTTGAATGAATGTTGCTCAACATCAATTGTTTGCGGTATGTCAAGCTCATTATGAGATGATTTCTTCTTATTATTTCATTATACTCGAAAATATCACGTTTTTGTGAATGACTGAATTATTTCTTTCACTTTTCAAGAGCGCAATTCAAATAAAATTGAATGTGATATTCTCTTCATATTGACCAACTTTAATTGCTCATGGAACATTATTCAATGTTGGTGGAATTCCACTTATTTTGAGTGTCATTTTTGGTCATTATAATTCAATTAAAATTTTTTCACACCATTTAAAGGCAGAGTTGGTTTAGAGCACTAAGCTTAAGTCTCTTTTAATCTCACATTAATGCTTCATAAGCATGCATTTATAGCAAATATTTTGCACAACTGCTCAATAATATGTGATTCTTCTTTTTATCCAATTTTATTTTATGACAGACGACGAAGAGAAGGAGAAACTAGCAACATGCTGGGATAAAGAAGTGGAATATCATGAAGGAGAGAAATTCATATCAAAATCAAATCCTTGTTATGAGTGTCTTTGTCATAAAGATTTCGATAATACAACAATTATTGAGAAGAATTCACATTGTCATAAGTTAAATTGTGAAATCGAATTGAAATATAAATCTTTCATCCAACGTGGATGCTTGCCAATTTTCGAGAATGACAAATGCTGTCCCGTAGATTGGAAATGCTTTGATTGTGAGTACTTTATTTATTTTAGACAACTCTTCAATTATCATGTTGTGTCTATTAAATTATCACAGCTTCAAAAAAGAGTAAGAAAGTTGTTAAGAGATCACCTGATGAAGATGAAGACTCGAGTGATGAAAATGATTCGTCAGAGGACTCATTTGAAGACGATGATGATGACTCAGAAACTGTGGAATTAAAAATTCCAATAATTGCTGAACCTGCTAAAGTGACACCTCTAGAAATTTCGCAATTCCTGCCACCATTTGAATATAATTCAGAACCAATTGTTAGCAAGGAAGACGAAAATGTAAAGGAAACAACACCACAAAGTTCGACAACTGAGAAAGCTATAAAAGACGAGGAAGAGGAAAAAGAAGTTAAAACTACTCAAAAAACTCTAGAAGAGACAACATTAAGTTCCAGTTCTGATGAAATTACAACTCTTTCATCTACAGAAGCTTCTCCAGTTTCTCAAGTAGTCACTGAAGCTGTCAATGATCCAACAACAAGCAAAATAGAAACGACTGAGTCTGTGACAGAAGTAGAATCGACGACACTGTCTACTGAGTCAACTACGGTAACTACAGAGAAAACAAAGAAAGATGAAAGTGGCGAGGAAAGCGATGATGAGAGTTCTGATGAAGAAGTAAGCTACAATTTATGATGCTGGGTTATAAGTCCAGAACTATAAGTAACTAAAGGTTTATAAGTCCAGACACAAATTGCACCTGGACTTAAAAACCTCACGTGCAGTTTAAAAGTCCAGGTTCAAATACAGCTTTAAGGCACTAAAGTTCAATAACAGAGACTCCAAAAAATCTGAAATCCTTGTTAAAATATGCCCAATATTAAATAGTTTCAAATAATTTTCAAGGATTACAAGTCCAGAAAAATGTATCTGGACTTATAATCGCACTGGGAGATTATAAGTAAAATTTATAAATTTTCTGAAATTATAAACGACATGTAAGGTTTATAAGTCCAGATTTAGGTTTTAAATATCAATCATGTACTCACTTTTTATGTTTCTGAATACCTTTTGGTAATAAATTATATACTTACTAACTTACATATAAAATGTACCTGGACTTAAAAACCTCTCGTGCAGTTTATAATTCCAGCTGTATTTGTACCTGGAATTATAAACTCCACGCGAGGTTTTTAAGTCCAGGTGCAATTTGTATATAGACTTACAAAACCTTTAGTCACTTTGAATTTCTGCACTTATAATTTTCTGTGCACGATTTTTGTATCTGGACTTATAACTCAGCATCCAATTTATTTATAAATCCTTTTTCTATTTAAATCTCTTCCCTTAGAATATTTTTGGCGGTGATTTGAAGAAATCTGATGCTGAGGAAGACAAAAGTGAAGTCTTGATCTCAGAAGTGACTGATAGTGACATCACAACAGAATTAGTTTCAAGCTCAACAGAAATTATTTCAGAAAGTACAACTCAGTCGTTAAGTTCAACAGAGGCTGTTTACGAGAGTACAACAGAATCAATCAATGAAATATCAACAGAAGTACAAACTACAGTTGCAACAATTGGTGACGATTTCGAGAAATCTTTAGACCAATCTGAGGATACAACAACAGAAGTTCCAGAAATCATTACAACAGAATCTAATATTCCAACAGAAGCAATAAAATTAACAGAAGAAGCAAAAACAACAGAACCAACATTTACATCATCAAAAGATCAAGAGCTTACTCCACCAGTTCCAACAAAACTTGATATGTTATTGACAACACTTAAACAACTTCAGGAATATGTTTCAAAATTAAGTATGCTTACAACCACAAGAACATCAGAATCTGAGCCACCAGCATCTTTTGTGAACTTTACAGTTTCAAGATCATTGCCAATTACGGAAAATAATGAAGAGAATTTGGCTGAAGATGGAATTGATGTGAGATCAATCAGCAAACGATCAGTAGATCAAAAGTCTGTGTATGTAAAGTTCTCAAATAAAGAAAAAGGATGTACAGTTGGTACACAACTCTACAGAATTGGAGATGAGATTAAAACAGACGATAAATGCATAACATGCTACTGTAATTACTCACCTATTGGACATTGTATAAGAAATGAAAAGTGTAAGAGCACATAAAGTAGTTTGTAGAGTAATAAACATACAAGTAAGATAAAGATCTACAAATAGTGAATAAAATTTTTTTTATCCAAATTTTGAATCTTTTATTGATGCAATTTCATCAAATTTAGTAGTTCCACCAAGATCTTTAGAATCTCAAGATCTTAAAAGTTTTGAATCTGAAGAAACTAAATTTAAGTTTAGAGTTCTTGACTTTTTCAGTCTGGATGTCAAGATATAGTTTCAAAATCCATTAAATATTCAAAATGCTAAAGCATAAAAAAGTTTAATTGCTCTAATTGAGCTTCCAATTTGTTATTTGCTTCTAAAATATTATGTTGGAAAACTTTTAGTAATATTTTGGATATATCACAATGAATGAATTAACAAATACATGTTTCAAATGAAAAAAAAAGTATTAAAACATGAAAAGTTTATTGGGTAAGAGATAAAGTGAGCACGGAAAGGAAAACTGTTGCGCATTTTTCCACAAACATTTACGCTAAAATTTTAAATTTTCAATTTTTGTTCATTTGAATGAGATAAGTTTAAAATGTTAATTTAATTAAATGAATACCAAACTATCTATTTAATAGTCAACCACAAAAACTGAATGCCAAACAGCACTTATTCTTAACGAAAATGAGATAAAAGTTGAAATGGATGTGAAAATTACAATTTTTTGGCAAACACCAACAAAAAAAAAAAATTCCTTACATTTTGAGCACTACACATTTTTATATCACATCATTGTTGTTCCTTTAATTTGGAGCTTGAATGTTATACACAATTCACACATATTGTTAGTTTTAAATTTTATAACACCCCCGGAATTTCCTCATTTTTGAACTTTTCTCGTCCAAAAAATATCAACACATTTGATCATAAATTTCTCATGAAAACCGACTATAGAATAAATTTTTCAACCTTAATGAACCTCATCCTTGAAATAAAAGAGTTGGGGTGGAGAAAAAAAAATAATTGAAAACTTTTAAATAACTTTTTGCCATGTTTGTGTTTGCTTGCTGCTTTTTACTAGCATCAAAGTAGATGTGAGAATCAGTCATCGAAGTTTCTATTGATATGCTAGGAAATGACTTGCTTTATTTTACCGGAAGCTTTCTCACATATATTTAAATACACAGACATGGAAGCTTGGTGTAAAAAGAACCACAAATCATAAAATTAAATTCAAATCTAATTTTTTAAAGAAATGAGCTTTTGATTCATAGATCTCATGTCAAGGTCTTAAATATCGCATGATCAATTAATGTCATAAGCCACTTCCTCGACTAGAGATGATCTTAATTAATATTATGACTCGTACGTGCATAAAATAGGGCAATGCATGCAGAATAAAAGAAAAATTCAATTTAATAAAAATTTCTCTCGATTCAATAAAATTCTTTTCAAACATTCATTCAGTTTAATTTGACCTTCCAATAGAGAGATCAAATAATAATTTCCGTCTTTATGCAGATTGTGTAAAATTGTAAATTTAATAAAAGTTTGGAATTTTAGAGCGCATTGCTTTAGACTTATTCTGTATTTTGAAAGGAGAGTTAAAAGTTACTTGTTAAAATGTAACGGAATTTTGAATTTTAAATGTTTCTGCATCAATTATCCTTCAATAAATTCAAATTCAAAATTTTCGTTGCAAATAGAAATAACAATTGAAATAATCCAATTATGAATAAAATTGATCCAGCCAGAAGCAGCAATTGATCCAGCCAGCTTAACATCGAGAGCAAGTGGCAACAATAAACATGAATATGTTGCATCTAAAATAAAATGTGTGAATTGCTCTATTTTGAGTATTCTGCAAATTTCTCCATAATATAAATGTCGATAATTCCAAATATTTAGTTTTACGGTTGTTGCCTGACAATAGCATGCAGCACAAAAGCTTTCTGTACTCATATTTATCTCTCGCAAGCTGAAATTGAACTCTCCAAAAATATTTTTAACATAAAAATGCATTTCTGAAGGAAAGAACTTCATCCTGTGCTGTAAAATTCTCTCTCTCGCTAGTCTCGATTCCGATTTTTCTCTCTCAAATAATTTTCATTCAAAGCTTTTGCTGTTTTGAAAATGTGTATGGAACATTTTCAGTTATTCAGTTCTGCTTGTGAAATGTACGAATGGGGGGAAAAATAGCAGCAGCATGAAAATTCTTGTGCTGTTTCATTCAGTTGTTCATCAACACTCGACATTGTTGGATGCATTAAAAAAAGTCCGTTGAGAAAATAAAAATAAAAAAAAGTTACATATCATATTTGTCATTCCTTCATATCACGTGTGTGTGCATATTGCTGTGAATTCTGTTTTTTTGTGATTTTTATTTAAAGGACACACAAAAAAATATTTTTAAAGCCTCGGTCAATTTGATTTATTGCAATTTTCGGGTCATTTTTGGACATTTTTCTCTTCATTGGTTATTATTGTGTTATGCTGCTTGTACAAATAGTAAAATGCCGAGCAATGAAAATTGTTTTATTTTTTAAAAAATAAAAAAATGAAATTTAAATCGTAAATCACAACAAAAAAAAATCCATTTAGCAGTTACGGAAGGAACAATAAACTGAAATTCAAGATTGAAAACACAATACGTGTGTAGCAATAATAAAACAAATAATAATTTTAATGAATTAATTGCTTATGAGATAGTAAAAGTTATTATTGTTTATGTTGCTCCTTCTCTGATGTGAATGTGGTTCATGTGAAAGAAAAACCGAGCACGAAAAAAAAAACAAAAAAGTTTTCTTTAAAAAAAAATTAATTGAAAGTTAAGAAGTGCTGGTGGGAATTATGAGAGAGATCAAGCAGGTTTTAGTAGCAGGTAGCTTTTCATTACGAAATTAAATAAAATTCAAGCTCACTTGCACGAGGAATTTAATTTTTTGACTTTTTGAAAATTTATAAAATTAATCCAAACTTTGATTAAAGTGTTTTCAAATTTTTTTATCAATTGTAATCACTACTTAGAAATTTATTGAACTTTTAGCTTCTAAGAATCAAAGTTTAATTTTTATAAAATGGATGTTAACAACTAGTTCAAATTTATCCAATTAAAAATGTCCCTTAATAGCTTTTAATGTGATATATATTAAATTTATAGCTATTAGGTTCTAAGCTGATCTTAAATCCAAAGGCAAACATAATTGTTAAATTAAAACAATTGCCAATCATTTTTGAATATTCTAATCTTATTTAGAAGATCATAAAAAATTCTGAATCTTTGATTCAATTGTCATAAATGCAAAGAATGAACCAAAATCTGGATAAACTTAAAAAATACTTTTTGATAACTTTTCTTAAGAAACCTTAGCAGCATTAATTGCTCATATTTCAATTTAGTTCAAAATTGATTTATTCATACATTAAGATTTATAGTTTGACTTTATTAGCATCAATCCCTAACATGTAAAACCTTGATGATTTGAGTTTATTTCAAAGTTTTAATCAGTGTTGCATTCTGGCTATTTGTCTGGACCAGATAAATTCTGAGACAGAAATTTCTTCATAAAATCGATTCTACATGTAGAAAGAAAAAAACCATCTACATGTAGATTGTGTCTACATGTAGAAACTGTCTACATGTAGATTTAATGTAGATGTCTACGATTCTACATTCTTCTCTGATGTAGACCTGGAAAAAATGTAGAATTATAGACATCTACATCGAATCTACATGTAGACAGATTCTACATGTAGACACAATCTACATGTAGATGGTTTTTTTCTTTCTACATGTAGAATCGATCTTTATGAAGAGGTTTCTTAGCTAGACAAAAACTATTGAAGAATCTACATTCTTCATCTAGTGTAGACATCTACATTTGCAACACTGGTTTTAATCCATTTCAAATTAAATAAAATTTTATAAAAAAATTCTTGCCGTAGCTTTTTTGATCTGCAAGTATTCAAAATTTTTGTCGGTTTTTGCGAATGTTGTTCGAGAAAAAAATCTATAACCTCTTTAAAAATCTGCTTAAACTGCAGCTTTACTGATCAGTTGGACTTAAAACTTCTGAGAATTGATCAACGAAATGAAATTACAAAACAGATTTAAAAACCAAACAAAAATAAAAAAAAATTAAATTGGCCTTATTCAGATGAGCTGACCATCCTCTCATTTTTCCTCAACTACAAAAATAAGTGTTGAAAATGAAAATTTTTCTCTCCAGTCTATTTTTTCTGCAATTACATCTACGCAAATGAAAACCACCATCACAATCAACAACAGCATGCCGGTGTTCCATGTGGACAAGAGGAATTACAACAATGTGCGAGACAAATAAAGGCTGTTGAAGCTACAAGAGAATTCAATTTCGTTTATAATAAGGAACAATTAGATCGAATTTGTCCGTAAGTGAAATCTTGTGTAAATTTCATGAATTTTCTAGTAATTGAATAATGGATTTGAATATTATTTTGCGTATGAATGGAACTGACAGATCAAATTTCTAGTTGATGGGAAATATTGAGGATGTTTTGAAGTTAAAATAAATATTTTGTTGATATTCTTAAAAACTATCGAAAGGTCTGGCAATTTATAAGATTCATACACAGATAATGTCTATATATATATAGTTAAGGACGTCAATTTGATGAAAGGATTTTTAATTCAAAATGCCAAAATTTAAATATTTAAATTGTTTAGATTGATCATGAAATGTTTACAATTAGAAAATTGTAATCATCCTGCAACATGATGAAGTCAAGATAAATCTAAAACAGCCCACAGAATGACGTTTTATTTCATAAACTAACAAGAATAAATTGAAAAATTGCATCCCAAGTTTCTATAAAGTGATTTGAGAAACAATAGCTTCTTGAAATCTAATGAAAAATACTTTTATACTTCTCGAAAAATTACTTCCATATACGCTTCCTACCGTTCAATTCTTTCTCTTTCAGAAGTAATATGTCTCATGCAATAAAAGAATTTTCTACTTTTTTATGAAATCTGAGATTTTCGTACTTGCAATATTGAAATATTTCCGCAGCAATAGAAGTTCAAGAAGTGAGTGAAAGAGTTCAGATTTGTAGGAAATGACAAAGAAAGGATTTGCTTTGGCGCTTTTAGATTAGGAATGATAATTTTTCTATCAAAATAATTCTAAATTTTGCAAATGCTGATTCTTATTAAAAACTTACAGAGATGCCGAACAAAGATTCTTTGAAATAATATGCAATTAATTCAATATCATGATTACCAAGAAATCAGCTATTCAATCCTTTCAGTCAAAGTGAAATTAAAAGATCCAGTTTACAATTTAATCGCTCAAAATAAAAATTTCTTATAAGAAAAACTAGGCGAAAAACTTTTCAAATTTAATTTTTCCGACGATGTTTTTTTCCTTCACTTCTCGTTCATTTGAAAAACTGAGAGCATTTTATTTAAAATTGGTGAGGAAAAAATCAAGAAAGTTTTCCTTTAAAACTGAATATTTTTTCAATCTCAAAAGTCTGCAGACAGCAATTTCTTTTTTTTTAAAATGAAAATGTTTTCATTTTTAAACGCGAGCGGCAATTTTTGAATGCCAATGAAAGCGAAAATATCTTTTCGCTAAATTAATTTAAATAATTAGCACATATTTTCATTTAATTTTAATAACAAATAATTAGTTTATTATCAAAATTGTGGGTTGAAAGCATTTCTATTAACAGCATTGCTTTTAATGTTGCTATTTTCATATTTTATTGACATTTTTTGTCATTAAATCTGTCATTTTGGAATTTTTTTGTGGTTTTGAAATCAACGAGTAGGATTATTGGGGTTGTGGATGAGAAGGACGCAGCAAATGGCTCACTTTTACTTTATTGTTAAATCTTGCATCAACATAATGTAATAATTTCTATTAAATGACTTTAACATGTAGTTTCTGTTTCTATACCTTAAAATTGTTTTAGACACTTCATGTCAAAAAATCCCTTCCAGTTGTTTCACATCTTCATGAAATTTCTATTAATACTCGAGTCTAAAATAAACCCAAAATGCCTAAACGAGTATTGATTCCTCCACAATAATGATAAACGGAATTTCCATTCACAAATTAATTAATTTATTGACTGACATTGTTCTGGCTAATTAAAATTTTTTATTGCCACAATTTTCAAAACCACAACAACCTGCTATCTGAATTAAATTTTTTTTGTGTCTCCTCCATCGAATTTACAGTGACCTACACATGGGATTGGAGTGCATTCGAAGCTATTCGCGACGATGTATGAGTCAGCATGAACGAGACCACATTAATAAAATCTACTATGGCACAAATGAAATGATTAAAGATTTGTGTATGGAAGGACAATATCAGGAAGGCACGTACGTAAATTTATTTTAGAAGAATGAAATTTATTTGCTTAAAGTGCTTTAAATTATTTTTTTATTTCACACTGAATTGCTTGTTTACCTTGAAAAGAATGTGACACAATTTTTTTTCTTTCTTCTGTTGTGTGAATCATTTAATTAATTTAAATTATTTTCATCTCTCCTTTTCGTCTCGAACACACATAAAATAACCCAAATTCTCATCCATCGCCAACATGAAAATCACATATTTGACCCCCAAAACAATACACATAAAAATTATTCCCACGAAACAGATTTTTTACGATACTCGCCATGCATGCAAAAGGTTAGGAATGAATATGATCATTGTAAAACTGATTATCAGGAAAGTATGCAGGCCCTCTATAGACAAAAGGATGAGGAGGCACGGTCCACGACCACAACGACAACGACAACGACACAATCACCGGGATTTATGCAAATTACATTAATGAAAAGGCAACAGCTGAATTCTGTTTATGTGTCACTTGAAACAACAACAGCAATGCCTGTCAAAAATTCATCTGATGTCGCGGATCAAGAGGATAAATTAAAAATTGTTTGCTGGTGAGTTGGCACTTTATGACACATGAAAAGTGTGGCGATGATAGACTTTAGCGCACTTTAATCGAGATTAAGCAGCCTAGAAGAATGAATCGTTCCTAGATAAATGTGTTAGGAAAGATTCATACGATAGATGTGACATTAAACTATCTCTATGTTTATTCTTTTCTACTCTCTTTTCCTTTTTCTTCTCGAATGTAGTGCCTTTCAAAAATACATTGATTGCAGTGCTTATGCAATAGAGAAGGCCTGCGGAAATGAAACTGCTGAATTCACTAGAAATTTTCTTAGCAAAATGCTTTCGGCATTAATGCGAGTAAGTATAAGAAACTTTGTTTTTCTATTATTTAAGTCTCTTGGGGTTTAGATCATGAAACTTTATCAATTTAAAAAATTGAATTGTTTTAATTTAATTGACCTTTCATTAATTTCAATAGCAGCAAATTATATCCTCATGAAATATAGTAATTGAAAATAAATTAAAATCTGATAGCTTCGTTGAAATTGCATTAATTCTTATCGTTGGATTTGATTATTTTTGGTTTAATGAAAATCAAAAATCAATTTACCAAAATTAATGAAATAACGGTCAAAACATATTTAAAACTAAAGCGAAAAAGACGCAAAAATTTGAATTTAAAATTTCGGTTAATATTTTAAGCTTTTCTTTCTTTTTAAAAATTTAGCTCCACTGTCAGCAAGAATACAAATGTGAGAAATACTCATCATCAGGCGTTATGAAATCATATCATGTTAATCTTATGGCAATTAGCATAATTACACCATTAATCCTCTTAAAAATTTATTAATTCGTTGAATGTTGCATTAATTTTGAGTGAAAGCAAAATTTATTCAGTTATGCGTTGGAAAAAAAATTAAGTTTATGTTATAAGAATGCTAACAGGACATTTTCCATTATTATTGAACCATGTATGACAACAAATTGTTATCATTTCGTATGATTGTCGAAGAATAGTATAATGATAATATTAATAATAATACAATATTAATAAAAATGACATAATTTGTAAATAAAGTGAGGCGATAAAAATGAAATAATCACGTGTCTGTAATTTAACAATCACACTCATTTCAGTCACATATAAAATGCATTCTAGTTGAGAGAAACACAAAAGAAAAAGTAAGTATGATGATAAAAATTGAAGTGGATCTATTAGATCTAATAAAATGATATTGCGTGAGAAAAATAGTGATACGAGGCTTAAATTGCATCAAATTATTGGATGTGAGAATGAGAAAAAAAAGGAAAGAAAAACTATAAAATCTCCTTTCATTCGATAGATTCATTGATCATGAAGATGAGTTCTAATTCAGCGAATGTATCTATTGTGTAACAACGTGACATGAAAATAGAAAGTGTCGATTATTGACAATGTAGAGCTATAAAGTTCAATGTGGATAAGGAAGCGAATTTTCGATTTTAGGGATTCTTATCCGGATAATCTCAGATTCTTTGGATGTCTTTTGTATCAATCTTACATAAACTAATGCTTTGAAATAAAATAATAAAATTCCAAGGTCATCGGAATCTCTATAGCAAGTCAAAAACAAAGGAACGTCCCAATCCCATCACTTTTACTATCATTTTGTCCAAATATGTACGTATTCACCTCATTCCCCCTTTACACTGTTGAAAATGTCGTAAATTTTGTTTGCATTGGACGTTCACGCTTACATTCTATTCTATTTCTGACACAGTCCATTAGCTTTAGCATCATAAAACATTCCTTAAATATGTGGATTCCGTATTCTGCCTTCAGTGCTTGTATTATAGAAAAGATACAAGCTACAAAAATTTAATTTTGATTTAATGGACTTAATTATTGACTGAGCATCTATAAAACTTTCTTCTTTGCTCCTTTAAATAGACATTATATGCTCATCTCATACTAATTTGGTATATAAATTTGTACAGTCAAGGAATGTGTGGTAAAGCAATATAATATCCATAGATATGTAAAGGAAAAAAAGTCTCAAAAATAGCAACAATACCAATTTTGAGAAAGTAACCACAATTCTTGATTAAATTTATAGCGATTGCTTGTGGTCAGCAGAGATGAGATTTTTTTTTCTCATTTTCCTCCTCATGTATTCCTTCCTCTACGTTCTCATTCAACATTCTTTTTTTTGCACCTTTAATTCATTTTCATTGTTTTCAGGTTATCATTAATTTTTTCCACCTTCCATTCTTTCTTCTTACTATATCTCCATGCTTTGCTATTCTCAGCATCTTTAGTGGTGTCTAAATAACAAATGCTTTGAGGAATAATAACCACATGGAAATTATTAGTCAGTACCATTGTTGCTATTATTGTAAGTAGCTGCGAGATTTTGTTTGGCGAGGAGCTTTTCGGTCCTTTTGGATGACTGGCTGCATAGCATTTAAATTGATGTACTTTGTACCTTACTCTTAATTATGGTTACAGTATTACTAGTGATATTTAAAAGCACATGATCGAATTGTTCCTTAGAACAGACAACGAGTGACTTTAAAATAAAGCCTGTAGTTCATCCTAGGCAGCCAAACGACAACGCTATGTGCCACATAAAAATAGACACAAATGCGCCTACTCCATCTACCAATCATATCCTTTTGATTCTCTTTCCTCGAGCCAATGAGAACAAATTCCGTCTTTTAGCTCACTTGATTCATAAAAACGCGTGGAGATGGAGAGAACAATAGGAATTCACGTGTTGAAATGAATTCCTTTTTCATTTTCAATTGTTTTTCTTACAATTTATTTTGCCCCTGATTTTTTTATTTCATTCTCATCCTCCTTGCCATTTCTCTTATTATTATTGTAGATGTTTTTTCATATTTAGAAGCACAGCAATGAGTAGCATCAACAAATGAACAAATGAATGATAATAGGAAATTAATAATTTTCAGATTTATTCATTTTTCTTTCTCACTTCTTGCTTGGAATGGGAAATGAGAATGAAAATGAATATGAGAACAATAAGGAATGCACTGAGTGGGATATTTCTTTTTTAACATCAAGCTTGCGATTTCTCATCATCGTTCTGGGAAGGTGTATCAATTTTTGCAGCTGTATATCCTAAATTTCGATTATAAGTCCTTCCAATAATCCATAAAAATTTCTCACAGTGTAGATTGTCCATTTGCACTTCCTTTCATTCTTTGCCTACTATCCTTTTACCTTATTTCCATTCATGAGAGTATGGTCCGCGTGAAAAGCATTAATAATTCGCTAAAGCAATTTTTCTTAATTCTCATTCCTCCTGCAAATGCCTTGTTTTGCTGTTAATGAGTATTTTGAGAAGGGTCATTTGGCTTCTCTATTATCAGATTGGAGGAAATTTCCTAATTTTCTTGAGAAAAATAAAAAAAGTGTTATTGCAAATCGGCCTTCGGTTCTATTTCCTGTGTTTGGAATTCCTTCGAGTCTTTTGTTTTCCTGAATTGTGATTTATTTTGCTTCAGTTTGACTTAACATTTTTTGGAATCTCATACAACAACTAGGTAAAATCCTGTCTATCGGGTATGGTGTCTTAACATCATAAGAGAAGGATCACTAGATGTCCAAAACCCAAAGTTAAAATCAAAAACCCTTTCAAATAAAAGTTAAAGACATTTAATGCGCAGCTATCAAGAATCCAAACTAGAACTGCTTTTTACTAATTTTGTACTGTAATTGAAAAAAAAAACTATTTTGGAATCGATTTTTCCCTTTTGACTCATTAAAAAGACATTAAATGAAATTATTATTAATTTTTTTCGCTTGCCTTTCTCAGTACTTGCTTAATATAGATGGAAAATCGCACAGAAAGCCATATAAAGGAATAATAAAAGGAAAAGAAATCTCTAAGGATCGGGTTGAATGTATAAGGTGCAATAATAATCATTATGCACGAATCATTATTATACCAACAATATTGTACCGGAAATCCGCTATCGGATTCAGCTAACAGGCTAAATGTGTAGCCATGAAGTGCGGTGTGTGAAATTAGCTTCCAAATCTAAATTCATATATTTTTTTTCATCTGTGTATGGATGTATGGATGCGGAATACATAATTGTAAGTAGCTTTTCTGTTGTTGTTGATGTTGGACGAAAAAAAAGGTTATTAAAAATTTATGCTCCATGACCAATGGAAATGATCTTCCTTCTGTATCTATATGCTTTTCATTTTAATTATCAAAGGCATGAAAAATGAGATCAACTGGGTTAAGTAAGAGAACTTTATAGTGTAAATGGAATGGCTTTTGTGTCAATTTAGAAGTAAATCAGAGAAGAATTTAGAGAATGGTCAAAACCACAAATTTGTATCCATACCAACTATTGTGTCCATTCTGTTGGATATGGAAACTCATGTCATCAACATCCTTTCAAAATATGCTAAATATGCTGTTAGATTCAAATGATAACATTTTTTGAAAAAAATTATTTACACACATCCGGAGATGAAACAAGCATAACTCAAGTCAGTACTGTTGTAATTACAAAAAAGGGTTCATTTGGTTTGCTCTTCCACCTAAGCATGAAATGGAACTAGATTTTTCTAAATTAGTCATTTATGAATTTTTCTCGTAGTTTTTTTCCCTCATTCCATCGTTTGTTGTCGACGAATGAATGACCAGAGCTTCATTTTCCACATAAATAAGTAATTAAAACATTCTATTGTATATGATAGCTATCCACAATGGAAAATATTTATATCAAAAGAGACATTCGGAGATGAATTTTACTTTTTTGATGACAAAAGTAATTTTTTTTTAAAAATAATGCTTGAATATCAGGAACAACATTTTTGTGGATTTAACGTAAATAACTCTTTGTCTATACAAACATTGAATGATGCATGTTCATTTCTTTTAGACTGTTTTGTTTTTGAATTTCTTCAAAAATGCTTTTGTGCCTGCAATCTTCAAAAAAAAGAAGAAAACTAAGTCTGATTGAAAAGAACACAACAAATGAATGCTGTGAGACCATTAAAATCATATGCGGTTACTTTATTTCCTAACATTTGAAACTTTAAAGAAATTCTTTTCTTTTTATCTGTTTTGACTGACTTTTGTGCAATATTGACTTTTTCTAAGATTAATCTCAACTTCTAATTGATGAAGGATTCATTTAAAATCATCAAGTTATGATTGTAGATTGAATCCCATCCAATAACCATATTTCCTGCTTAATTTAACGATAACTAAAGTCTGCATCCTTTCATTTCTATTCTTAAAGATATCCAGCTAAGCTTTTGTAAATTACAAAACCTCATGACTCAAAGGATTCTCATTTATTTCATCTCCAAATGATTCTTTTCCTTCTTCCTCAACAGAATTCTAAATATTTATAAACTTAAGTTCATTTTATTTATTTATTTATGTTGGCCAACATGAAATTAATTTAGATTTTCCTGACTTCTTTAAATATAAAAGTATTGCAGGATTGTCGTTAAACCGCACTATTTAGCATTTCTTTTCTTTCCTTTTTATTTATGCTTTTAAATTGTATATACTTTATATAAACACAATATAAAGAAATGTCCGTAAACATTTGAAAAAGAGACGATGAGAACGAGGGGAGAATGAAGCATATCGGATGTCTGTAATTTCGACAAAATAGAGTTCCGGTCAGAAGCCACAATTGTCATGCCATGAGCAAAATAAATGGGCAACAGATGGTTTTATTTATTTTTCAATACTTTTCTCGACTTTTTTTTCCATTCACCAAAATAAAGTTTTTCCTTTTTTTTTTGAGTAAAATTTCAAATGAGACTAGTTAGATTTGTGTATTGCATTTCATCAATTAAATTTAAATTGAATT